CCTTCCCCTGGTTCTAATCCAGCTTTCCTTATGATATGTTCTGCATATAGATTGAACAGAGATAAAATACATCTTTGTCTGATACCTTTGTCCATGGGAAACCATCCTGCTTCTCTGTATCCTCTCCTAACAGTAGCTTCTTGTTTGTGATACAGGTTATACATCAGGACAATCAAGTCCTAAAGCACCCCCATTTCTTTCAGGACCATTCTCAGCTTCTACTCATCCACACATTCAAAGGCTTTGCTGTAGTAAGCAAAGCATAGACAGATCTTTTTTCTGAAATTCCTCTCAGCATAATAAAGACTATAGCTTCCATGTGTCCGTTTTGTCTTGGATTTGGCCAGAATCAAATTGCTCCATTGATTCCCTCTTGATTTAGATGGGTGCACTCTGATCAAAATTGAGACCAGTTGCTTCAAAGGCTTGTGGTGGGTTCATTTTTATTGTGCATGCTATTGAGCATAACTGGATTCCTTGTTGCACTTATATTGCAAGAAACCCAAGGTAGCTTACAGAACCCTTTCCTCCCTCTCCATTTTCTGGTCACAATTCCTTGAGGTAGTTCAGGAAGACAATTCGTGACAGGCTAACAGTCGTCAGTGAGCTTCATAGCTGAGTGGAGAGTAGAAGCCAGATTTTCCAGTTCTCCATCCAACACTCCAGCTGCCATGATGCACTGGTTCTCATGCTCCTTAGGAAAGCTTTGTCCTTGAAGCAACATTCTCAATATGCACTTTGGGCTTTCAGAAGTAGTTGGAATCTCAAAAGAGGTGGTGTGGAGGAAACCACAAGTGTGTTGCATAAATATACCAGCAAATTAGCTGTGGAACTTGCTATGGTGTTGAGATAACATTGTGATATGTTGCCACCTGCAAGGTTCTGTCATGCTGAGGTGCTGTGCTTATCCTTGGTTTTATCGCATTTTTCTGATCAGACATGGGCAAACCACCTGTAACCTTTAGACAGGATGTCACAGACACGGTTGTCAGCAACATCCTGTCAAATTGTTACAGGTGTTTTTTCCACACCTGATGATATGCATGCAATGCAGGCTTAGCGATTTTTATTTCTGCCCACTCACCCCTGGTTATCCAGAGGTGAGTTGCTGATGATAGAGATGGCTTGAGTCCTACTTAAACATACGACTCATCTGCTGGGAAGTCTTTTCCTTCTCCGATAAAGCCATTTCTTAAATATATAGGTTTCAATCCAGATTTAGTCATGTACTTTTAAGCTTTGGAGAGTGGACCTTAGTCCCCTAAAATGCTATAACAAAGGAAAGGGGATCCTTCCAAATGGGGGTGCACTGTGCTGTGAGTGAGAGGACAGACCCTCCAAAATCAAGGTGGGGGGTATCTTTCATGAGAACCAACAGAAGACAGATCCTGGATTCAAGTCATGACCTTGTATTTTTATCATGGCCTGCCTTGTGCATGTGATTCAGTCGCTGAAATCCGTGGTCAAGAAAAGTTTTTTGTGGTGATGGCGAAATATATAAACAACACATGATATCAACTGCCTATCTCTTGTCTCACCACTGTTCCACTGTGCTGTGGACTTTCTTGTTTGTGTAAATAAATCCAAATCTAAAATAAGTTAGAGGAGTGACCAGGCAAGTGGCCTGTCTATATGATGAAGGTACCCTGATGTAATGGTACCTCCTCTGAACCCTGAGGAGACTTAAAAGTCTGTGTGATGACCACAGATGACAGCTTTCTCTAATTTGATACCCTCCAGAAGTTTTGCACCACAACTCCCGTGCGGAAATCCTGTCTTTAGATGATGTGAGGTTTACTCCAGCAATTTTGAAGGGTGCCAGGTTGAGGAAGGCTGATGTATAGATTCACTGTACTTCCATGGCTTTCCCAAAAGACTCTTAGGAATTGCCATCTTTTGTGAGAATGCTGACCATTCTCTGCTAGAGAGCCTTCTCCCAAAACTACATTTCTCTGGGGAATAGCCATTAAATCAACTTCAAGCCAAGTCAAGATCTTTGATGGGCCATAACTAAAGGTTCATACACAGATATGGTTGGTCACACTTCACACTTTTCTCCACTGCTAGACTTTGGCTTAGAATGGTCAAAATTGTGGCCTCCCCTGCATCTTGTAAGGTAGGGGACTCCAACTTGACCTGTTGTGCTACTAAGATGCTGTGCTCTAAGTGGGTTTGGTTTATATTGGTTGCATTCCTCCAGACAGATTGGCGAGACCTCATGGTGGCCACGGTGCTGTTTTTCTAAGATATTGATCTGCTTTTGTGATTTACAGGGCACAATGAAAATATAAAAACTGTTCAGCAAAATACATATTATCTGAAATTCAGATAATGCTCAGGAAAGATCATCAGTGTTTGTGCCTGAAAAAATGAAGAATATATTCTGCTACTAAACCTTACTTTTCACCCTGAGTGTATGATAGCTACATCTGAGAGATTGTCAGTGTGAATGAGATGCAAAAAATGTGTTCTGCTACTATCTTGTTCCTTGAAATTACTGCTGTAGTTAAGAACACCATCAGGATTGAGAAGGCCCAAAGAAATTTGCGTTCTGCCCCTTCGCTGTGGGGCACTCCGCTTTCTTTTTTCTGCCACCACTTCATTTTTTCTCTAGAACTGCCTTGATCATTTTGCTCCTTTGCCTTCTATCAACTTACACAACGAGGACTGTAGAAAGAGCTCTTCTAAGTTTTAGAAAGGAAGAAGAATCTAAGCATCTGTTAAGTATCTGTCCTCTCACCTGCTGCTTCTCTCCTACAAAGTATTCTCTTGACCCAAGTACATCCTTTAAAGAAGGACTGCTTGGCTTGTAGGTGCGTTACTACTCCATAGTCTGAATGGAATGCAGATACCCATGTAAGAGTGATTCCAAACAAGTATAAAACCATTATACCTCTGAAATGAAAAACACATCCAGATGATTTGGAACTATTGCCAAAGCACCCACTTTTTATTCATAAATGAACATACTATTTCATATACAGCTTTATTATTGTTTCGTACTTTTGTGTACTTTATTAAGCCTTTGGGAAAGAGAGGTGGGATTAAAAAATGAAAAATAGTTCTTTCCTCATTTCAAACTGCACAAGATTAATTAACTTGTAGATCTGATTTTAGCTGGGAACCCTCAAGAGGGATGGAGTTAGCTGAGATTCACAGATTCATAGTATCGGCTGCCACAGAACATAAAATTGAATAGCATCTTGAACAAATGAATAGACCTTCAGAAGTGAGGATAAACCCGTCAGGTTTATAACTGGGGTTGGGCAAATCAGTCAGTTTTGATTTCTCCTTCACTTTTCAGATTTCTTTTTTTAACATCTCAATTTCTTTCTCTTTTGAATACGAAGAACTTTGTGCAGTTTGGTAAATTTGTTTTGAAACCAGACAGAATTCTCACCAATCTGAATCCAGCTCTATTCAATAGGTACAGCAGTTCCAAACATGGAGTCAATCATGACAGAATTGCCTTCTATTAAACTATATCACTGTTAAAAGCAAGGAACTTGTAATTAATTCACAACATTGGCACTTCCAAGCATGCCTGGTACTGTATTTCTAATGGCCATCCCCTCCCTCCCTCCCTCCCTTCTTCTCTTTCTTTCTTTCTGATCTTATGAAATGGAAGATTTCCCATGGAAAAAATAAAGGATTGGAATATTTTCATCCCAAACCATTAAATGCAGGAATTTGGTTCTGAGTCTTTGTCATTTTGCTGTATTCATATTTTGTTTGAATATCCTGAGTTCACCAGAAACCAGAAGTTTCTGGTTCTTGGGATGCTGGAGATGGGAGGCTGCATCAAGGGAATGAAATGTTTACATTTCATAATTATACAAATAGACCGATGATGGAATACAAAGGATAGATCTCTCATCAATTGTGATCAAAGTTTGCTCAGGATAGTTTATTCCTAGTTGCAGGAGTATTGTTGTCCTGGCTACCTTGGTGAGATCACGGTGAAGATTTTGGGGTGCTTGTAAATGTGTGGATGATGAAAGCAACTTTCTCAGCTTTTATGTGTTAAAAAAATGAACTGCTTCAAAATGTAGGCCAGTATTGCATGTAAATCAACCATAGCCATTAATTACTGGGAGAGAAATCAAAACACCTCCTGGGAAACCAAGAGCCTTTGAAGTGAAATTTATCAGGATAGATTCTTTATGGTTGAGCAGTGCTTTAATTTAAAGGTGTTGGCATGGATCCCAAGATCAGTTAACGGAAGGAAATTCAGGGAAGGACAGTCTCCTGCCCCTTCCTCTACCTGAAGCGATCTGTGACCCATGGAAATGTCTGTTGTGGGGTCAGGAGGGCAGTGGCTGGACAAGGGAGGGCAGGGCTGCTGTGGGGAGGAGGGGACAGGAAACTGGCTCCGAGTGGTGTGCTGAACACTTTTCTAGCAATAGGGAAGGATGATTTAGACGTGTGTGGCCAGCTTGCCCACTGCATTCCCATCAGCCCAGAGACTTTGCTAATCATTGTTTCCTGGGCTGAAGCTTGCTTCGTGAGAGAGGAACAAGTTGAATATTGAAAGCAGGAGAAAACTGGTCATAACCCTTCAAAACAACCCCCAGTTAGGCATTATTCAGGGCAAAGTCTGCAGTCCTATGAAAGGCCAAAAGTGTGAGCAATGTAGAATATCCATTAAGATTATGTTCTCTATTACAGGTATGTACACTGAGTGAATAGCACCTCATAACCCCAGCCTTATGTTGAATGTTGACCGCTTTGGAGTTCTTTTGTAAAATAGTAAGAGGTTCTGCAAGGGTATCAAATACTGGTGTGGGCAAGACGGAATCTGCCATCTTCATACCTGTACTTTTGGCGTATGAGTGGGTGTCTGTTCCATTGAAACTAGGTTGCGCTCTTTGCTGAAAACCGATTAAAATCAAATAATGAACTACACAAAGCCTGTGATTCTGTAGCCTTGGAAAAGTTGATTGCTACTGCATTTTTCTAAATAGAACTTTCTGTTCTTTTTTTTTTCTGATTCTGTACAGTCACAGTTCGGTAAAAGATGCACTATTACCGGTATTCTTCTGCTGAGATCAACTGCTGGTACAAATACTTGCTCTTCAGTTACAACATAATCTTCTGGGTAAGTACAGACTCTTTCCATTACTTGGTGTTTTGCCCCTTAACTTGAAAGAGGACCCTCTGGAAATCAGACTTGCTTCCAAGCAAATGTGTAGAACAAAGGAACGTGCTTGGAGCATCCTCCCCCCCAAAATCTGGATTTCCAGGTTTCCAGAACCGGTTAGCTAGCTCTGCCCCTTTCTTTGTTTCTGGCTCCATTGTTGCAAGCACAAGCTTAGCTGGAGGTGTTTTCCTCTTCATTTTTCTCCAGGCTTCAGAACATTTCACTTGCTTATTTTCATGGTGAGCGGCTGTTTTTAAAAGAGGGGTGCAAAGCCTCAGATCTCAGATGGTGACTTGGGAGTCACCATCCAGCCTTCTAGGGTCCCCCCAAAGGCCACCCCTTCCCCCGGTCTGCCTCACCTTCCCCCTAACCACCAACCATTGATTTGGTACCCCAGCTTTTGTGTGCCCGCTCCATTCTAAAAGGTGGAAAGACCTCTCTTAAGGCTGATTTACTGACAAGTAAGATCTTTAAGCTAGAATATGTTCATATTTTGTACCTTGGCCCTTCTGCCTTTGGTCCTGCTGCTACTAAAATAGGGCCCTTGGGAGCCTCTCCAAAATTGACACCCCCTGTGTACACATATAAGCCTTTCTCAGAGAGGGAACTTAAGGCAATTCCATAACATACTGGTCGAGCCTTCCCGGGATGGTGATTTCCAGATATTTGGGACTTCAGCGCTCATGCACCACTGGTCAAGAACAGTGGGAATTCCAGGCAAAAGATTGGAAGGGTGCCATGTTTGGGAGGCTGATCCAGGACATACCGCTCTTCGTGCACCAGGGAGCAGTCCTAACCAGATCCAAACTACATCTTTCTTCTTTTCGGTCTGCTCTACACGTTCTGGGGTGGCAGCACCCCTCTTTGAGTCTAGAAAAATAATGTACTGAGAAACTATGCAAATGTTTTTTAATGGCAGGATTTAGAATACGACTCGTAAACCCTGTAGGGACATTTATAAGCTAGGAACTTCCTGGTTCAGCTCTCACCTTGTCAGGTAACACATGGTGGAGAATCTTTAGCAAGGCCAGCATCCTCTCAGCTTCACCCCGCTCATGCTGAATATTGGAGGCTGGACTGAGAAGTGCTTTAAAACTTCTTTAAAATCCTCTGAACATGCTATTGTGAAAGAAAATAAACATGCATATTTAGGCAATCCCTGCCTAGAATTGGCTGGATTTTCATCATCAACGCCTTCTCGGTAAAACAAAACAACACACCCTTCCTCAAATAATAAAAGAAAGAAGCCCCCTGCCCGGCTGCTACGGCTTTGCACATTCGCATTGTCTCCCTCACGTGCACGCTCCTTGTGCCCCAAGTGACCTTTGCTCAGTGCCACTTGATGTCACAATAGGACACGTTTTGTGATAAACAAAAGGAAGCGGTTCCTCCGAGTCCCTTATTTTACCCACAGAATGTGACTGAAACAGTATCTTTTCCCGGATCAAAGGACCATTTACAATACTTTAAACTTTTGAACTGTTGCTCACGCCTGTACAGCACGCTCTGCTGTGCATAGAAGAAAGGAAGTGGGAGCCGTCTCTGTGCTCATGAAATTAAAAACACCTAGGCCTTGCTCAGAGAAGACGGAGAGGGAGCTGGGCTTTTAAAAGCCAGGCCTATGTATCTTGTGGTCTACCAAGCCACCACGCCTTGATAAACCCTCCGGGCTTCACTGGGTGTGCGCGATTGTGAAAACAAGGGGTTACCAAGCACGTGGTGAGTCCCATTGGTGGCTGCACAGGCTCCGCTGGAAGCAGTGGAAGCTCTGCTGCAAATGAGAGCAAGCATGGGGAGTCACCCCGTTTTGTCAGTGCCCGCTTGCGTGCTGGTTTCACAAAGCCTTGCAGAGTAAATAGGCCCCTGCTATTCTGTCCTGAAAGACACAGGAAGATGTGTTTTGAGTCTGCAGAAAAGCCGTTTCCTAGTGTATGGAGACTTTGGAGTTGTGTTCCAGTCTTCGTGACCCAGTTAGCGAGGTCTTGAAGCTTTAAAAAGCCATGGCAGGCTGGGCACCATTTACCTAATTACCTGCCTGGGTGAAGCTTAGTGTATTATCAAACCCTAACGGTCAAGGCTTGTTGGAGGGGGAACAACAGACCATGGTACATGGCACATACCATGGTTTAAACAAGCCTTGATGGCTTGGCACTGTGATCGTATGAACCTACTCAGGGGGTGGGTGAGAAGAAGAAGCCATGGTGTTGTCCCGCCGCAGTTCTGGAATTCCTGTATAGTAGGAGTAGTTTTCTTAATCCAAAGAATTCATGATTTGGTCTAAGGTGGTTCTCCAATCCTCTGTACCTGGGATTGCCACGATAGCATTGTTGGTGTGGAAACACCATAGAGTCTGCTGGCAAGAACAGCCACAGAAGTGTCAATGGGGTGGATTCAGACAACACAAGCCATGGTTGGTATTCCATGTTATCGAAACCCAGTTGTGTTATTTCACCATGGTAAGTTTGGTCTTTAGAAACCACAGTAAGAAAAAATGGTTTGTTCTATGGTTTCTCTGTACCACCATGGCTTGTTGTGATGTCTTGAACCCAGGGTTGTGGTTTTCAAAGTCCTGGTCTGCAACTACAACAGAGTTCCCTGGAAAGAGTAGCAAGTGCAGGTGTCTCTCCAGCGATCCAACCTCTCCGCGTGGACTAATGCAGAAGAGGCTGGTGGCACAGACAAATAGCACAGCACTTTGGGAATGAATTTCAGGTGCAGTGGCTGATGAGATTTATGCCAACAGTGGGAGAACTGAACAAGGAGGCTGGAAACCGTGATACTGTAGAAACGGCTTGACTGTCTGCCAGGTCAATTATGATAAAAAACATGAATTATGGTAGCCAAGCCAGGTTGCTTGTCATATTGTGAGTGGAAAATGCTTTAGAGTAGGCATATTAGTGGAGAGGTTTTTTTTACTAGCCCATCACCCACCATCTAGAGCTGGGCTGGGGTCTCCAATGCAGGCCTCTCCTGGCTTAATACTAGCACAAGTATGTTGTGTTTTCCTTCCTCTTTCCCTCCTCATCCTTATCAAAGACAGCACACTGTCAGCATTTCCTGCATCTCTGCCGGGCAGCAGTGCTAGTTTTGGCTTTCAGAAAGGGTTAGATCATGGCTGTGGAAACTTTCCCGTGTGCTGGAAGGAAAAGGAAGAAAGATGAAACGCTTTCAAGCAGGTAGTCATTTGAGACGCTTTGGGCCACCATCCATGCTTTGGGTGGTTGAAGCTACCAAGAGTTGATCTCTCCACCTGGACAGCTTAGCTGGGTTGATGCTAAATGAGTTGTATGGAATGTTTGTCCCACTTAGAGTATGCCTAATCAAGTGGCCACAATTGGATGCACCCCCTGGTGTGCATGCGTTCTTTATTGAGTAAAGACTGGGGGGTGGGCATGATATCCCTCTATAAGCACCTCAGAGGCTGTCACAAAGAAGGAGGTCAAGATCTCTTTTTGCTGATGCCAGAGTGTAGGACACGGAATAATCAGCTCAAGTTGCGACAACCCAGATTCAGGCTGGACATCAGGAAAAGCTTCCCCACTGTCAGAGCAATACAGCAATGGAACCATGTCCCCAGAGAGGTGGTGGGCACTCCCACACTAGAGGCATTCAGAAAGAAACTGGACAGCCATCTGAGTGGGATGGTGTAACGTCGTGTCCTGCAAGAGCAGGGGGTTGGACTCAATGGCCTTTATGGCCCCTTCCAACTCTACTGTTCTATGATTCTAGGATTCTAAAGGGCTATACACTTACAAAATGCTGCGAACTGTATGCTGGAGATGTGTTCTATGTTAGAAAGATACTGCAGCAAGGAGTGTGAGCCATCACAAGATTCAGTACACTTCTGGAAGGGGAATGGGAGTAAAGCAACCTGAATGAATAAATGATTTTACATTAAGTAGCACATATCTGTTGGTCCTGATGGAAGGTAGCACCCTTATGATTGTATTGTTTGATTAGGTCCATCATTATTGATCATATTATTTGTACTGTTTTATGTTTGTGTAAACTCCAAGTCTTGTTTTTGCTAAAATAAAATTAGAAAAGAAAGATGGAGCACTGGGGAACTGTGTCACAGCATCTCAGCATGTAGCCCTTCACTTTCATCTGTAGATGAACCCTGTTTTGGTTTCCACCTACATCGGGAATAGTGAATTCCAAGATTGCAGGCAGGTGCCTGGCGCCAGGGTACCAGTTCTAGGAAGGCTGCAGGTGGAAAGACTGCTCAGCAATCCCAAAGCTGGCGAAGGGCTTTTCTCCACCTTCTCAGTGACTTTCTTGGCTCCCAGCATCTGCCTCAAAACCCTGGAGCAAAATATTCCCACTGAATGTGGAAGTGAAAGCAGCTGTCCAAATCATTAGCCTTGTTTGGCTTTATTGTATTTTGCTTTGACAGACTCTAAAAAAAATACCTTAATATAAATACATACTCTGGTGGGGATTGTCATAATTAGAGGTGTTCGGTGTTTTGGCAGTGAGTCATAGTTTTTAACTCATGTGAAAGCACCCACTGCTGACCACACCAGTTTAGTAACATTTATTTCATGCGGACCCCACCTTTTTTTTAAACTAGAAAAGGATACTCAGCTCTACAAAATTATTCTCAAAGTAGCCCAGAAGACATCACAACACTTTGAAGGAGTCTCCTAAATTGAGGTCACTGCCTGTAACCACTGCAGATGGGTGCAGTCGTGATTTAGTGTAGCAAAGGAAGTGGCGTGTTTCATGACACTAGCTGGGTCTAATGTGTGAACTGGACACACACAGTCCGCATGATCCTGTTGTGTGTCGTCCCTCCCCCCCCCCCCCAACAAAGCATCATGAAAGCCTTGCATTTACAAAACAAACCCTAGAGTACCAGACTGCTGTTCAAATCAAATATAAAATGCATGCATCGTCTTTGTTTCTATAACCAGAAAGCAAAAGAAATCCTTTTCTCAGCTCTGCATAAGTGCCTAGCAAATGAGACTGGTCCCAACAAAGCCATGAAGGGCATGGAAGGGTCATTTAGTCACACTTAGGGCAAACAGTTCTGTGGGAACATTAAACTGGTATCTCCTACATAAAGTAATCTTTTCAGGACATCCTTGCCCTGGTTCTACCATGGGCCCAGTGATGCAGCTTCACCTTGCTCATGCCGTATCTTGTCCTGCTTTCCCTCTTGAGCCGTACTGCTTTTCATTCCAGCCATGTATCCTGTGAAAGTGTTTGCACCCGGGGCTGCACCACAGCAATAAGCAGCATCAGCATCCATATCTGAGAGATGAAAATAAGCACCCCTTGCATAGTCAAGAGGACAATGCCTGCATTAGTACGGGGAAATCCAAGTTGGAGGTTGCATCTCCATCAGGAAATCTAAGCATCCCCTGCTCCTCCCAGGCAGGAATGCGAAGAGGGGGTCTTGTCCCCTTTCCCCTTTTTCTACCGCCCACTTCACAGCCCCGTGGATAACCTCCTTCTACCATTCACAGCCCCATGGATCACCTCAGTGCCGCTGTCAGCCTGTGCCTGACTTGAACGACCTGTCTTGACTCCCTTTGTGCCCATAGGCAAAAGGGCCCCATGTCTGGGCTTCAGCTGGCCAGATGCCCCTTAAACTGTGCAGTTGGGTGGAGAGGGGGAATCAAGCTGGAGGCCATCAGCTCCCTCCACTTCAGAGGTTTCACCCTCGGTCACACTACACACTACACTGAACTGGCGTGGACTTTCAGCGCAGTTTATATCTTTCCTTGTTTTCCCTCTATATCAAGAGGAAAGAACCTCTGTTTCACTCCAACTGTACCGGAATCCTTGTTTTGGTTGTCTTCCCTCCACTTTTCCACTCTCATACAGAGGATCCTCTTTGAAAACAGGGAGCCTGGTAACCCAGATACATAAGGAAGGGCTCCCATTTCCTTTGTTCACTGTCCTTTTGGGGGGCGGGGTGCCCTTTCCCAGTTCCAATAACCTTCCTGAAGCTGCTCGCACACAGTATTCCAAATTCAGTTGCATCATTAATTTCTGTGCAGTCATCACTCACTGGCAGTTTTGTTTTCCACTCCTTTCCTAATCATTTCTAACATGGATTTCCTCTTTTTTTTGCTCTCCCTCTGAACTGATGTTTTTATTGAACTGCTCGCCGTAGCCTCAGGACTGGCCCAGCCTCTTCCATTCTTCTGCATGTAGTTTGGATTTAGTTTCGAGCAATGTGTGTGGGTTAGCTCTGTACTGAATCCTTTCATTATCTAAAGGCGGGGACAGCAGTTCCAACAGCGACATCTGGAGATGAAGCTTTCTCACGAGAGTGCCAGCTGGCATGTGTCCCGTACTTCATGACCATGCATCTTGTCCATGTGTTAGGAAAACATGCACATATTGGATTAGGAGGATTGTTTCTGGGTGGGGAACAGGAATGCTTTCCAGCAAACGTCAATGCTTTCTGGCAAATAATAAATCTTTCCTTTTTCCCCCTTTTCCTAGTTAGCCGGAGTTGCTTTTCTTGGAGCTGGTCTTTGGGCTTGGAGTGAAAAGGTAAGGAAATGAGCTATCGCTCTCCATGTATTCCTTGAAAGCGAAACTGATTTTGCTCCAGTTTATCAAAAATAAGAAGGGAGAAAAAAGGAGCAATGAAAATTTCTTCACACGTGAGCCTTTCTGTAGAAGGAAATCATTTGAATGTGTGATATTTCCTCAGCAAGGAAAGGCTGGATTTAATGCAACATAGGAATACTCACATTCTATACAGGTCTGTTCAGAAATGAATGCAATGAAGTTCAACAAATAGAGTGTACAGAGTTGTAATCTTCAAGAGCGATCCTGAATCTGCAAACCTGGGAATAAGCCCCACTGAATTCGTTTGGGCTTTCTTCTAAGTAGATTTGAAGAAGAACATGTTTCCAGGCACGTTCAGACCTTTCTCACACAGTCTTTTCTTCTCTCCTACACCTCTTAGCTGGATTGGTGATTCGGTGCACTTAATCCCACCCCTGCTATATTTGTCCTGTGGGTGACTTAGATAGCCAGTGATTACTGGGGTGGCATGAGAGGCTGTCCCCCGGATGGCTTCTTTGCATCACGATAGTGCTTCAACTGAGGCTTGGCATTATAGAAACATAGAAACAGAGCGAGTCAGAAGGGGCCTCCCGGGCCATCTCGTCTGAACTCCAGCAATAGCCTGCTCCGCTCATGACATGCCCACCATGTGCATGATAGAATTATCCTGACACAGGGATACCTGGATTCCTATACTGCTTTGTAGGTACACACGTTTCATAATTTTGAGCAACATGTGTTCCTGTTATGCCACGCGGTGGTGCAAAACAAACTCGAGTCACTGGGAGCATGTTTGAGATCAGAGGATCAGACTGTAGAAAATTAAATGGCAGTTTTGGAACTGGGGAATCATCCTGCCCCTCTTTCAAGCTCCTGCAAGGAAAATCTGAAGTCTTGGAGGTACCATGAAGAAGCTGATCCTTTCCAGCCTCTTTCACCTCTCAGGCCACTTGGCGTTTATCTGTGAGGCTTGTTTCTCAGTTCTTTTTACTTTTTGCTTGTGTTCCAGTGATTCCCTTCTCAGTGACTCCTTCTTATAGCATTGTGGGTTTTGAGTTTGTTAAACATGTTGGCTGTTCTGCAGCTGAGCCCAAGGCAATGGTGGCATTTGCAGATCAATGTAGGGAAGAGAAAAAGGCAAAGGGACATTTGGCATAGTTACATTTAAGCTAAATTAGAGGTTTTGTCTGAAGCCTTATGCAAAGCAGGCAGAGTTTCAGGCACAGGAGAAAACAGCTGCCATAGTGACCTTCCTCCTCTCTTCCTCTTCCTCCTTCTGCTCTTTTTAAAGGGACCAAGCACCAGTTCCGCATACATACACGTACTCCATTTAGCCCTTTAACAGGGAGATGAATGTTTTTATTGGCTAGCCTTTAGGGAGCAAGGACTGGAAATGGTTGTCTTCTCCTTTGTAAAACTGATGTCTTCTTGCAATCGAATCTTTGTTTTCAATTTCTGATTTTGCTAGTTCTGATAAAGATTTACCTGGTGGGCTTTGTGCTAAAAAAGCTCAGGAAACCACATATGTTCTAATGGAATGCTTCCCTGCCCATATGCGATTTCTCCCTACTGTCCCCGTGTGTAGAAGAAATATGTAACCTGTGAACTGCGGTTGTTGTGTCAGCCATTCTTCACCACTTCACTGGCACCTCCCCAAACAGCTGCAGCCTAGGAAATCTGACATTGCAAAAGAGGATATCTGTGCAGGAAATTTATTTATGTGTGATGGGTGGAGGAGAGAGGATGGAAAGGGAGTAGAAACCAGGCTGAAAGAACAGGAATGTGTTGAATTTTAAAAACAAACTCCTTCATTTTATTTATGATTTCCTACCCTCCCTTCCAGGAGTCCCAGTTGGTGAATGTGGGTACAGCCTCCCAGTTGCTGACCTTAGGTCCAACCCATGTGCCTCCACTTGAAGCTCAGCATTCTAGTTAAAAGGCTTCACAGCCTCTTACACTGCAACCATTTTTCAAGGAGAAAATGGGGATTATTAGTATATAGGCTCCAAGCTGTGGTACATCTCACTGGTTCCCATATAACCGGTCCCACCCCCAGTAACTGGCCCTATTCCTGCAAACAGCCATCTGTTCACTGCAAAGGTTGGGTCTAGAGGTCCCCTGCTTCAAGGGGAAGGCATATTCCGACCACTGGAAATGTATTAAGCCTTGCATTAGGCTGGAGAAAGCGAAGCCACACCCAAAGATGTTCTTTCACTTGTGCAAACAGAAATACAAGAAGTGTCCCCCTCTCCTCCACATCATTATTATTATTACTATTAAGATTATTAGCTAACCCAAATGAAACAGTGTAGCCTAGAATGCGGGCAGGATGTTCAGTGTTAAGATTAAATGAAGAACATTATCAAAACACACACGGAGATTAACATCCACAGTTTGATGCAAATAATAACAGTATTATTATTACTATTACCGTTACTGCTACTACTTATTCTTCTTATTATAGTACAAGGCAAAAGCTTCTGTGAATATTGTACTATTCTGTGCTATGTTCTGTGAAAAGAGAACTATTTTGCTTCCACTCCCTTTTCTTTGCATCATGCTGTGGGTGTTTATCTCCATGTGTGCTTTGATAAAGTCCTCGCTTAATCTTAACCCTGAGCATCCTGCCTGCAGTCAAGTCAACACCCCGCGTCATTTGGGTTAGCACTCACGTGGACCAATGCTCTGTTTTGATAGCTGCTACTATCGGAAACCCCAGCCTGGTGCCAAGAATGTGCTCTTGATAAAATAGCCTTCCTGTGAAGTGGGTCATCTCTGGTGCTGTGGAACAATTAGCGGGACAGCCAGCCCTCCGTCCTTAACTAATCAATTCACCCCATTACACCTAGGCACCCTCTCCGAGTTTCTAACAGTTGCCCTGCTGGATGGAGCAACTAGGTATATGCTCTGGTTTTAGGAGTCTGAAAGCAAAAGCCTGCCTTTGGCCTTGCCTTGCAAACCCATGGCTTGGTTGGTGATACGTGTCAGCTACTGATTCTGCCCAGAAAGGATCCTGTGTCTCTTTTCCTCGGGACAGCAAACAGATGCATGCAGCTGCTGCTTTTGAAACAGAGAAAAAGTCATGCCTGGACTGCCCAGCCTCTGAGTGCCACCTAGTGGAAGTTGCTTCCTTTTGGCTGCAGGTTTTGCCAAGGGGCTGGAAGAGCAGACCTTTTTACAGCTGTTTTACAGTGACTCTTATGTTTTGCTACCTGATGCATATTGACAGAGATCTGAACGATTACCTATATGATGCATATATTTCCAGACATGCTGGTTACACATGCATTTGCATATTTAGGTGCATAATTAAGGAGGCACCTGGCACAGTGTAATGTGTGAAGGGATCTTTAATTGCTCTTGTTGAAATAAGGATCACTATGAAGGCTTTTGTAATTAAATGCCCCATCTGGTTATTCTCTCATTCTCTCTCTCATGCACCACTTGCTGATATAACAACTTCAAGAGATATCCTTCTTTACTTTTTCTGCTTGGGGAGCCCCTGCCCCCAAGTCCAATTCTGATCACCTGAAGATTTAGTAAGTGTCCAAATTCTTCTCTTGCCTAAGAATATTTCCAGAAGATGCAATTTCCAGAATGCACCTTTTGCAAATGGAAGGTTCTTTCTTTCTTCCTGAATTCTAAAAATAAAGTTACCTATTATACTACACAAACATTTCATCCATTATATCCTGGTCAAAAAGATTAGTTCCTCCATTGCCGCACAGGCACAATGGACTTTGGCCCGTAGGTTGTGCCAGCCAGCCCATTTCTCTGTGAAGGCCAGGTAATCTGCCGCTTGTGGGATAAGGCAGCAATTTCAGTGGAGATCACTGGGTGATTGGAGAAGTGAAAGGTTCCCAACCCTGCTTCTGAGATTGCGATTTTCTCATTGCTAGTACCAGCAAAGAAACATAGATTGTGGGGGAATGGGAGATGAAACCCTCTTCCAGCCCCTGGTGATCCCTAGATTTCTGTAGGGAGGAAAGATTTAAACCTGAAGATCCCTGTGTGCTGAGATGTAGTGGTTGGAAGAATGCCACACACCCACACTGGATGCATTTCTAGGGTACTGAAAAGGTCACACATCCCTGAATTATAGAATTAAATTCATACACAGTCAATTTGCAGAATGGAATGTTTTTAAATATATGGTGAACTTATTATTATTATTATTATTATTATTATTATTATTATTATTATAGCATTTCTATGCCGCCCCTTGCCGAAACCTCGGGGCGGCTTACAACATGATAAAATACATTGAAATACAATAGTACATAATAAATTACCATTAAATATAACAATACAAAAAATACATTGATTTACAAATACAAAATTAAAATTATCAGTATAAAATAAAAATATAGGAGGAGAAAGAGAAGGAAGAAGAAGTTGCCCAGGCCAGATCATATGTTTTAACAATTGAAATGATGTTTAAATAAAAAGGTCTTTACCTGGCACCGAAAAACCAGTAACGACGGTGCCAGGCGGACCTCTTTAACTTAATGTCTTACAGCTTCAGTTCTTACCCACATCAGCACTAAGTTTCAGTTATGTTGCTTCCAACAACATACAAAGCTGTGCACCATCTTGAACCTTATTATTAGAACAACTAAGTGTTATTGATCAGTAGATTAGAGACATCCTTGCCAAATTAATAAGCTTAATTGATTCCATTAGTGTACTTTCAGGTAATACTATTGATTGTATGAATAGGAAGATTCATAAGATTCCTACTAAGTAGGAAGTACTAAATTACCATTTTGGGTTTCTGAGCGGTAATAACTGTTGGTGTCTCGAAGTCGTAATGTATCTTGGAATACAGGGGCTCAAATTATAAGCCTGAATCTGCATATGTTGCAGGCAGATCCTGTAAGAGGGGCATCATTTAATTAAGTGCACAAGGACAAGGTTAATATACTTAATGAATGTTTTACCAGAGCTAATTTGTCTATTGTGCTCTGTTCCTTTATGTATCACTCTGTGTGTCATTTCAGAAAAGTTATGGAGTAGGACACTGGCACACTGGTTCCTCCCTGCTTTTCATGTTAAGGGACAGAGTTGCCAATCAGAGGGGAAGGATTCCATTTTCCAGATCTTAGCTTTACCGCATATGATCTTTTTGTTATCTCATGCCTTTGATTGAAAGATACCATTTTCATTTAATATGCCTCCACGATGATGATATTACATTTAAAGCCCACCTTTCTTCCTCTTGCAAGGAACCTGAGTCAGTTGATAAGCTTCTCCTCCTCTCTGTTTTATTCTTGCAACAACAGCCCTGCAAGGTAGGTTAGACTGAGAATCTGTGACTGGCCCAAAGCCACCCAGAGAACTTAATGGCCAACTTGGAGACTAGAACATGGATTCTCAGGTCCCATTTTGGCACCTCTACCACTACGCTCTGCTGGTTTTACTTGAGTCGGTTGAAGTCAAGCTATTTGACACTTCTTGAACTGGGTGGCACTAGGATCTAGGTGAAAAGAAGGAACGGGACAGGGTGTTGTAGACTCTCTTGTCAGCTGCAGTTTAATCCATATTTGCATGCTGAATTAATTTGAAGGGGGAAACCTGATCTTAAAAAATGGATTGAAAAATTCCTTTTTATCGAGGAATTGGGTTGATAGGGGAATTTATGCTGTAGCTCAGTTAATTGCATCAGACAGCAAGTGTTTATAATTTTTGGCACTGTGCTGCAGAAAACTCTTATCCAGGCTGATAACGCTGAGGATCCAGTTGCGGTAGCCATTGGCGTCTCCATGTGCCCCCTCAGCAATGTGTGTTTCAGCTGAAGGAACAAACGAGTTGTTTCTAAATGTCTTGTGGGATGCAAGGAAGCAGATGCCCTCCACCTTAGAGAAGGCTGAAAAGGGACCTCAGGTGTTCTGTGCAGCACCATTTCTATGTACTCGCCTCACCTTCCGTATAAACTGTTCTCGTAGATTACAAATGTAAAGGGATCTGTTTTGGGAGCGAGAATCCATCGAATTCCCTGGGTTCCCTGCACTCTGGTCCATTTTGTTGCAGCTGTGAATCCACGTTTCTAGTGAGCAAGCCAGCGTTTGTGCGATGTGTGTATCAGGAAACGAGCCCTGTGCAAATGCGGTTCGGTTGCCACCACTCTTCTTCCACACGCAGCAGCCTTTGTTTAAGCTGTGGAAGAAGTGTGCTGGGTGTGCAGAATTCCCCTCGGCTGGGCTCACTTCCCAAGACTGGAGGAAGTCTGAGTGGAAGAGGGACAGATTCTGCAACACTTCATCACAAAGCGAAGACCCTGTGCTGGCTGCCTTCCCACTGGACTTCCCACCTGCCCGCATCCTTTTGTTCTCGAAAAATCTGAGATAATTGCAGAGGTACCTTTTAAGAGAGATTCCTGGGATGTGGAGGCAATAGATAGCAAAAAGGGACGCTGAAAGTCCCAGCACGGCCGGGATGCAAAGCTTCAAGCCTGAGAAGATAAATGTCTGTTCCCTCTCACTCAGTGACAGGAGGATGTTGCTAATCTCACCACATTAGAATGTATCTCTTCAATTTCACCTGAGTGCTTGTCTGGTGATCTCGTCGGCTTATTTTAATATATATAGTTGAAACAAAAGTGTCAATCTCCCCCTACTTTTAAAAAAATGGTGTGAGGAATTGTTCTTGCAAATGGTTACTCTTGTGTTGTTTTGTTCTTTCCATCTGTGTTTGTGGTTTCTCCCCTGCTTTTTGGCTTGTTTTGTTATAACTGCAAATAAAGATACATGGGAAAAAATCCAGCTTACATTGTTTTTCATTAAAACAATGGCTTTGGGGCGGGGTGGAATTTTTGCTTGTTTTGTTTGGAGGCACCAAGTTCAATGCCCAGGCAATCAAAAATGCTCCAGCTAGAAAGCCAAGTTGAGATCTGTGTAAATTATACAAATTAGTGTAAATCTAGCATTTCCAAGAAAGAGCAATGGCACTGAAGTTACGCTTCCAACCAGAGACCTCTTCTTCAACCCCTTTTGTCTGCGATAACGACATGCATTCCTACACATTTTCCAGGAAAATGTTTGCAGTCATGAGGGCTAGATACTTGCATCCAGGTTTTTTATATTTATTTTTAAAGGGCAAGTGAGTGAGCTGACCTAAGGAAATGGTCTCCTGCCTTCCCTGCCACTTCCTGGACTCTTTCTGGACACTTCTGTGAAGCCTTCACATGCTTTTGGTGTTCTTTCAGTGTTTATGCAACAAAATTCAGAATTGATTGTGTAAGACAGAACAGATTCACATGACTGATCTCTCTCTTTCTGTTTCAGGGTGTGCTGGGTGACTTATCCAAAATTACTCGTCTCCCTGGCTTTGACCCCGTGGTCCTTATCTTGTTTGTTGGAGGAATCATGTTCATTCTAGGATTTGCTGGCTGCATAGGAGCCCTGCGAGAGAACATCTGCCTCCTGAAATTCGTAAGTTGTCAGATTATGTGGTGTGTGCTCTCTGTTTAACTATGCTGCTTCGGGGTGCAGTTATGGGGAAAAAGGTTAAGCCACAAAGAAAGACAGGGCTGTGTCCCCATTAGTCCAGGCCTGGTATGTGGAAATGCATTTAAACTGGTTTTTGTGCAATTCTGATAGATCTAGTTTAAACCAAAGCATTCCAAATTATAACAGAAGGTTCATCAAAACAAGCTTTAGTGGATTGGTCAGTGAAGGGCAGGTGTGAGCTAAGAGTTCATTTTGGTTTGGGACTCTTAGTGTAATAACATATAAAATATAGTAATGTATAACTTACAAAAGCATTAGTGTAATAACATAAAAAATGTTAAAGAATGACCCTTTTTCTTTCCTTCCTGATGGAAGTCTTAAATATCTTTTGTCTCCCTCCAGCACAATCTTTAGGCTTCTAAGTTGCCATTTTTATTTATACATACAATGTATGAATCACCATTCTATAGGATAACATCAAAGGCAATCAGCAATAAACATTAGAATTGGTTTTATATAATTGGTTGACCTATAAAATAGCTAAGATGGCAGGTTATTAATCAACTAAAAGTGATTAATGAGAAGAAATATTTTCAGAGAGTGGGTGTTGAAGTACATTTTTTTCACTTTGTGGTCACTTAAGGTTGTTAAAGATCCATATGTTACTTGAGTCTTCTGGATTGTGTATTAAATATATCTTTGTTTTAATTGCATCTATCTTTAATTGCCTTCTTTCTTTGAAATTAACCTCAGTCACACGGAAGACAGTAAAACATGAAGCATACATGCAACATATTGTTTCTTGGAAATCCACACTAATTAATAATAATTACGAAGAAAAAGAGGTCAAAGAGCGCTGAGAATCTTTCTAAAGAGCAAAAACAAATGCTGTTTTTTGAAAAACTCAAATAAATGTGGTATGTGAGCTAACAAAAGTGTTAACTTGATTTGCAGGTTCACATATTTCAGAAGATACCTTTTTCTCTGCTTCACTTGCTTGTTTCGTTGTAAAGTACAGTTGTGCTTTAGGTCACAGGATTTGAACACACTTCACAGATTGCTACAGCCACAGGAAATACAGTTTCTCTTGCCCTTGCAAGAGTACTTTAGCCTTTGCTTTCATTTTCTGGTTTTGCTATTTTTGTTAAAGCTGTTTTTATGGGTATTGTACCTCTCCACCAAAAAAAAGAAAAAAAATCCAATTCACTCTGACCCCATTCTGACAATGAATCAGTTCTGGGTTAGCAATCCTGTATGTTCTTAACTCATGGGTAATGGCAAGTAAGCATGCCGATTCCCATCTGCTTGCCTGCATCCTTGCACCAAAACAACCCTATTCCTGGGATGTCATGGTGTGTGATCTCAGAACTATGGGCTGTCTGGGGTTAAGCTACTCAGAATTTTAACCCAGGGTTTGTTGTTGGATTTGTTCAACGTGTCTGAGCTGGGTTGTTGTACACCAAGGAACTGCAGTGTGTTGAGAAGGCTTCTGGGCCTGTTTTAAGATGCTTGTTGCGGAATTTGCTAAGTACACATGGATTCAGTGTATACCCAATGACTCCCATCCCTGTATCTTTCTATTGGAGCAGAAGATCAGTGCTAGGCTGTGGACAAGAGGATACCATTACCCATCTTATGGAGGCTTAACTCCCTGTCCCTGGAACATAGCTGAGAAACAAGCAGCCTGCTTCTGTTTTTAAGCCTCATTCATCACCCCCTAACTCTCACCGTGTCCCCTTTTCAGTTTTGTGGCACGATTGGGCTCATTTTCCTTATGGAATTGACGGTGGCTGTTCTGGCTTTCCTGTTCCAAGACTGGGTGAGGGCTCGGGTGGAGACATTCTTCAAGAACAATATCAAGTCTTATCGAGATGACATCGACCTGCAGAACCTCATAGATTCATTGCAGAAATTGGTAAGCTGTCTTGCTGAACTGTCCTGTATGGCCCCAAGCAGTTTTAAAGTGAGAAACCAGCTGCGAAGGGCAGTCCTTTTCTTTTCCCTTGAACATACGTGGGTGAAAGGAGCGTAGGCAAGGTCGAGTAGCCAGTGAGATGATATTGGCAGCATGGCAGAAGCCAAAAAGGCGAGGCACAGCCATCGAAGCATGCAGGCTTTTCTTCTTCTGCAGTTACTTTTGCAAAACTCTCTGTTCAGTCCAAAACAAGAGTCCACCTCCTGTGCCAGGCCTAGCACCAGTTCTGATCAGTGCTTCCCCAAAGCCGCAGAGAAAAAGGAGGGAGTGGTACAGGGAGAGAGGAAGGAGCAGGAAAAGGACTAGAAAATGACTGTTCTTTATCTCTGTGCCATCTGTCAGATTCTCTGGCCAGTTTTGTCCATGGAATTGTAGAAGTGGTATGGTTTGAATTGATAATCTGTGTCCAGAGGCAGGAGCGTCTCCATCCTTCTGAGGCACATGTCCAGGATGGGAATCGGTGGCACTGCCAAGTGGTGGGTGTGGCCTTACTTGACCATCACATCCCACAGGTTGGTTTTTGGGGGCTCTCCTGTTGGACCCCTTGGCTATCTGCAAATGGGACCCCATAGGCTTCTGTCTTACTAATGGTGCAAATTAACTTCCATGCAAAAGCACAGTGGGAGACAGTCTTGCAGTACGGGGTTGGTGGGATCACTGACGCTCACCCCTTGTCCTCCTCTGATGCTAAAGAAGCAGGAGGCCTTTTGAACCAGAGTTTTCCTCCAGAAAGGTAGAGTCCCCTAGGGCCACTGAGCCAGAATGGGGGTGTGACCAGTGCTTGATGGGGCTGCATCTCTTTGCAGGTTTTGCAAGCTCAATTTTTACTGAATGTTTATTACTGTTTTGAACTCATCTTGAATTCGTTTTAATGTTGTTTGTTTTTATGATATTTGTGTTGCATTGTATTGTTTTGTTTCATGCACTGTTGTAAACCACCCAGAGAGCTTTGACTGTGGGGCAGTTTATTTGATTTAGATCCTGCTTTTTTTCTTACAAGGAACTCGAAGCCGCTTGCATCATTCTCCTCCTCCTGCTCTCCAACTTATCCCCACAACGACAACCCTGTGAGTTGGACTGGGCTGAGAGTGTTTGGCTGGCTCAGAGTCACCCAGTTGGCTCCATGGCTGAGCGGGGACTAGAACCCTGACTGCCTGCATCCCCAGTCCTTTGCTCTAACCACTACACAACACTGGCTATGATGATGATTTTAATAGGAAAGCTAGATGCCGATCTCAAATGCTCCCCATCAAACCATGTTTTGCAACAGGAGAATGTTTACAGCCCATTTGTTCATGTTGTTTATGCTCATGTCTTGATTCCCGTCATGAAGAGCGGTTGTGAGTATTGAATACTTTAGTACATCCCTATTGTTACGCAGAGTGATTTATATCTTGCAGAATCAATGCTGTGGTGCCGAGAATCCTAATGATTGGAACCTTAACATTTACTTCAACTGCAGTAGCACAAGCAAAAGCCGTGAGCGGTGTGGAGTCCCTTTCTCTTGCTGTGTCCCAGATCCTGCTGTAAGCTATTTCCTGTCTTCTTGATTCTATAGTAACACAGCAGATGGGGAAGGGGATTATTTCCCAGAATGAAAGAGAGAGTGGGGGGTCCTCTAAACTCTGGAATGCATGGTTCCTCCCAAAGGATGCTCTATATGTCTAAGTTGAAAACAAGAATACAATTCGCATCATGGCTGATAAATACTTCCAACTCTTCATTTTTCTCTCTCTCCAGCAAAATGTTGTGAACACACAATGTGGCTATGATGTCAGGAATATGGTAAGCCTTTTCGATCTCCTCCTCCCCACCTTTGCTAACCTGCAGTGACTTTGTAGGTACGGCCAGTTTAAAGAAAGCATCAGCCAGTGAAGCACACAGATTTTGTGTGAGAAGCCAGGAGGGGTGCAACACATCCTTTTGTATCCACGGCCATAGCAGCAGCCTTTCCAGAGTCATGTCGTAGTCAGGCAGGTCCACCTTTCCGTTGCTTATCTGTACTGTCCACTGCCAACCTGTGCTGGAAATAGGGAGTAGATGCCTGGCTCCATTCCAGGGCTCTGTTGCTTACTCAGTTGGCAGAGAGAGGATGTGTGGATGCAAGATGTTACTTCATCTCTGGCCTCTGAACTGCAAAGGAATGATGGGTGGTCTTGTTCCATGCTCTGAAGACTCCACGCGGCAGGTGTAGGCGACTGGGGCACCTTCCTTGGTGCTCACCTACTTGCTGTGCCCCGAGGAGGGGTGGATCAGCAAAGCACGAGCTTGGCAAAGTCCTCCTTGAAGGTTGCTCTGACTCAGCTCCCTATCCAACTGCAAGCTTTGCCTTTTCTTTCTGCAAGTATTTCCACATGTGTTTTCCAAACACACATAACTGTGTGCATTTTGAAAATGGACCTTTTTCTCATGACTAATGCATATCTGTGCAAATGTTTAAAAATGCACTCATTCTGAAATGGCTGTCAAATGCATTTTACACTGTGCATGTGGGGGGGGCAGGGTGTATTACACTGCAAACACAGATGTACAGACTTCAACTTCAGTCTAAAAGGAATTTCTTATACATCCTTATCTACCCCTCTTAGTTTGCAACAAAACAAAGCTTTGTTTCAATCAGCAGCAAGAATTGCTGTGATGGAATAGCCTTTGGTTGGTGCTGAAAAAATTGTAATGCCTATGTAAAAGTTTTAGTTATGGTGTGTGTTTGGTGGTGGCTCATTTGCATATGCAGATCTTCCCTTTGCACACTATCCTTATATGGCCATCTCTCATCAGTGTGTGTTCTCGGGAACTGAGGACACAATAAAGTGAACTAGCCTACCATCAGGGCTGTGTGAAAGTTGTCATTCCACAGGAGTGCAGGAGAACAGGCCAGATAGTAACAAGTGTGGAATTCAGACTTCGGCATACCTGGAGTCCTATTCAGCTGATACACCTGAACAGGCAATATACAGTGTAGGGGGTGCAGGGCTGTGTACATCCACTCACCTGGCCCTCTTTCTTCCTCACCTGGTTGAGCAAAGTTCTCAGTTGCTCAATGGACTCTACCCACATTCAACTGAACACCAATAAAAGCCCCTTACCTATCTTACTGCACAACACAGCAAGGTTGGGGACAGATGTTGCCCAGCCCTGTAGCACATACATTTGTCCAGATTTCCTGTTTAGACTTAGGATATCCCCTCCCTTCCCTTCCCTTTTTCAAGAGCCAGTTTCCAGCAGTTACATTTGTGAAGAAATGGTTTAAAGAGTATGGATAAGGCCTTTTGAAATCTAGAAGCCAAAGAAGTGGCTGCATAAAACCTCCAGCTTCCCAGGGCTGAGCATCTTTCATAACTTGGACAGATAAGGATATGTCTCTCTTTCGTTCACTGCAAGCTGTTTTTGGGTCTTTGCAAAGGAGCAGGGCAGAAGTCAAATAATTCCAATGAATGTAGCAGGAGAATGAGAACGGCAACATTATATGCAAAGGAAGAAACCTTGCAACTTGCTCGGCTTTTCTAGGTGCAGAATTTAAACTGCTGTAGCGCAGCCCTGCCTGTGGCAGCTGGATTCCCATTCTTGTCTTTTGAATCACTTTCCTGAAATGGGATGAACCCCAACCATGAAATATATGAGACTAATAATTTCCCACCTCTCCACTCTCCTCTGCTAGTCCCAGTCTCTTTTGCATGAACGCATCTTCACCAAAGGCTGTATCCCTGCCCTGGAAGCCTGGTTGCCCCGGAATATTTACATTGTGGCAGGAGTCTTTGTCGCAATTTCGTTACTGCAGGTGAGTGGCAGCTGGTCTATTCAGAGAATACACCTCATTTCTAAATGGCTTATGAGCATATCTTCCTCTTTCTGGTAGCTCATGCTTTGAGAATGATCTCATATTTTAGAGAAGAAGAGCAGTATAAAACAGCTGATGAATGGTCTCCACTTAATTTTCTTTAAAGCTCTTCCTGAATGTCACCCAAGATAGATTTGATGCTAGCTTTGTGGCTTCCCCTGGAATTTTTGGGGTATGGGTGCTCCTTGACTTCTTCCATTCTGTCCTTGAACTTTGTCACCATCATGATAGATCTAGTTTGTCAAGCTGTACTGATCAACCTCCCCAGCTTGGAACCCTCCAGATGCATTGGACTACAAATCCCACCTTGGCCATGTGGCCTGGGTATTATAGGAATTGAAGTTGATGCATATGTTGGATGCAGGTTTGGATGCAAGGTTGGATGCAAGGTTCCAGAAGGTTGGTGTTGACCATTCTTTGTCATGTGGAAGTTCATGATGGGAGAGTTTTGATGGGAGAGTTTTGTACCCCCTGAGCTAGGCCAGAGTTCAGAAAACCTCCAGACGTGGACAGAAGGCAGTGCCAAGGCTGAAGTCAAGTCTCTATGTGCTCTGCAGTAGGGGCCCAAAGGATTTTGTGAGACTCCGCTGAGTCTCACAGTCACTCGGGGATGGAGCAGACAAGGAGATCATTCTGAAGCACCCAAGTGGCTGGGGTTGGCTTATTCTTGACTGAGCATGTCCGTCGAATCATTCTTGGGTCATGCAGTTCTCCCTAAGGTCTAAGACTGTTGAGCCAAATGCCAGCATAAATACAACCCTTGGCTGAGCAGTGAGTATTGTAACCTGTTAATTTGGAAGTCATTGGCAATTTGCAAGTCTAAAGTGTTTCCTAGCAGCCCAGCTACAACACGTACCCACATCTAACCCCCCTTTTCCTCCTGTGCACTTGGAGTGGCAAACATCTGTAGGGTGGGTCATATTAATAAGCTTTTTGAGCGGCTGATAGCTTCATCCCAGGAATGCAGAATCTCTCCCAGCCCAAGAGGCAGATTCCATTTGAGAGAAGCATTCAAAGGTGCTTTCCAGCAGCAGAGAGGGCTGGAGAGGCCAGGCGTATTGTCCAGATTCTCATGGTGGCACCTCCCAAGTCCTTCTCAAGCACAAGTCATACCGTTTTTTCTTCCCAATAATACTTATTCATGTGTTGCTTTTTCTCTTTCCTTTGTTTAGATAGCTGGGATTTACCTGGCCAGGGCATTGATTTCTGACATTGAAGCTGTGAAGGCAGGCTTTCGCTTCTGAAGATAAAAGACAGACCGATGTTTAAAAGAGAAAGGAAATGAAACCTGAGACCCAGGAAAGATTAGACGCATCTAGCACGTGAAGCCATGATAATTCGTCTTAAAAAGTATAGCTGGATGTGATCTACACATCAGATCTTTATCTTCAGCCTTCTGTACAAAGATGTGCCAACTTCAGTGGGCCACAATGGAAAATGCTAAAAACATTATCCTAAGGCGAATGCTGTCCAAGGAAAGCTGCCCTGTTTAGTTAGATCAGAATGATAACACTCCAAATGTTGACATTGCCTAGAAGAATGTCCAGTAATACCAAATGATTGCATCTTAGCGGGGTTGGGGTGGGGGAAGAATTAGGAATCACCTTTGATATTGAAAACTTGTTCGGGGAACATCATGCATGCTGATAAATCGAAGTCTACAATTTTTTTAATGCGAAGCCATGTTTGTACACCTGGGTGGTGGGAGAGACTTGGAAAGTTACCCCAAATCTTAACGGAGGTCTCAGCCATGCCGAAGGGAGTTCCTTCCTCTCAGGCCAAATCTGGTGCATCCATTTCAGGTGCAACAGACCTGAAAAGAACACTGGAGTTTTTTCTGGAGGACTTGCATCGTATGGAAAATCCTTGCCTACATGGATTTTATGAAGACATAGTAATGTGTATGTTTAGTAGGATCAGGCTAAGGCTGGATTCTCACACCCTTTCTTCCTTTCAGACTTTGGTCACATGGTTTTATTTATAAACTCATGAAGAAGCAAATGTGTTCTTTCGCCGGAGTGCTTGTTCCCGAAATCATTTATGTGCTGAACTAAAGTTGCTTGTTTTGCTAGATACATGAAGAATGCCTTTTTAGGAAATACCAGATATTATTGAATGCATTTAGCAATACAGCAGTATCTGAATAATGCAAGGCGCTTTTCAGAAGATGACGAATTGGGTGCCAATTCATTTTCACTCCAGGCACCTTCTTTGGTAGGGGAATGGCTCCCAGCATTCCTCACTGTTGGCTGTGTTGCTGGAGGTGCCTGCGAGTTAAAGTCCAGATCATTTAAAAGATGACCTTCTGTCCAGCTCTGCTTTTCAACAGCCTTCTTACAACCTGATGCTGTCTAGATGTGCTAGGACCACAACTCCCAGCAACCCTAGCTGGGGGATGTTGGGGGATGTAGTCCAACACATCTGGAGAGCACCGAATGAAGAGGGCAGCTGCAAAGTGTGCTCAAAAATGCAAGTGAAAACTGTTGTGTTTCTCTTTTAAGAGTAGAGTTGAGTATTGGGCTCTTGGGCCATGTGACCTGTCCTTCATGCAATCAGCTTCACCGAAATGGATGCCATGTGCCTTCTGATTTTCAGACCTTTCTTTGGTCCTTCTGCATAGATGCCTTGGTAGAATACAGCACTGGACAATGGAGTCAGTGATAGGCCTGAAGGCCCATTGGAATAACCCTGCTTTGGACTCGGTCCTGTGAAAGGGCTTGATGCAGCCAAAGGCCACAATCCTATGCATGCAGATCTGACAGAAAGCTTTACTGAACTTATTAGTGTTGACTTCAGAGTAGGCACGCATAGGACTGCCCTGAAAACAAAGTACTTTGCATCAGTTGAAAGCAAGGGGAGAGGTTCTAAAGTCCCTCTGGGAAAGCAGCGGGACACAAAGGGCTTGATCCAAGAGCTCTTGTGGCAGAAGCTCATGAGCTTCCAAGCTTACCCTGTGCAAGGTGCAAAACAGGACAGCCTGCATTTTAGTGCCTGAGAGTATGGGGGGAAGAAGATTGGGACACCAGTTCAACATGGTTTAATTCTCTGGCCCCAGACCTCCCTGCCCTGCCAGACCCCCTTTGCCCCCACTGAAGGCCCAACTGCAGCCTTGGGGGTGGGCAGCTGGCATGGGTCTTTCTGTCCCCACTCCAAGATGACAGGTGCTGGACCCACCCATGGCCTCCCAGGTGATGTGGGGAGCTGATGGGATGGCAACCGCTTAACTTTGGCTGTATTGCTACCGCTTTTCATATTGCCTGTTTTTTCAGGGACCATGAGGCTCTCCTGCACGGCCTGACAGGAAAATACCTGTATTTGTGTAATTTTGTACTGTTTATTTTTTTACTACGTTTAGAATAAGCTTCAACAACCGTGCCGAAATCATTTTTGTGTGAAACTGTGTTTTGAGTGGAAGATTTCTTTGCAGGAAACACTATCAGGGCTGTTTTATATAAAGCTGGTTTTAATACAAACATGACCTTGAGGCTTTATGAGCTTTTCATGGACTAACAAAGCTAACTCGTTAAGAACAGAACTGTAACGCATAGCGATTTCTTGCTGCAAGCAAAGGTTCCTGTAACATGTGAGGAGTTTTCCATGGGGTGGGAACAGTCCCTTTGTGATGGGTTGTGTAATTTGGGTATTTTGGGCCAAGGTGAAAGCAACAAGATCATGACTGCATGTGCCAGAGGGTAGATCTACCCCCAGAGGCACTGGCGATCAGGGTTCCTCAACCTTTTTGGATGTGTGGGCATATCTGAAATGGGAGACACTGTTGTGGGCACCACTGCAAAATGGCTCCCATGGAGGATATGGCTGGTCATGTAATGGCCGTTATATGGAGGGAAGAAGGGGAAATGGGAAGTGTCGCTTCTTTTCCCTGCCCAAACCTTTCCCCATGCCATCTTTCTTTCCATTCCCAGCCTCTAACTTTGCTCTCTTCCAGCAGTTCCTTTCCTCCCTCTTTCTCTCCCTTCCCCGGTTCCTAGTTTTCTTCTTTATCTCTCTTTCTAGCCTCTCAGTTTCTCTCCTCTCTGGACCTTGCTTTCCTCTCCCTGCCCACTGGACAGCTGATGCCCTAATTTTGTCCAACATTTTATTAGAACATTATTATTTGATGATCAGGGAGTGGAGAACTTTACGGGTGTCTCTGGAGGTGCCCTGGGAGCCCTGATGACCACACCCCCTGCAGTGGGAATCCCTGTAATGAACAAGAGTGGCTTGACACAGTGGTCCATTTGCTCAGATGGGGTCATATTCCTTTGAGGGCAATCTGTCAGGGCCACATGCTGGCAGTAGATGAGGCCAGCCTGCACCGGGGGGGGGTTCTACTCTGTGCCCCCACACCCTTTTGTTTGTTTATCTCTCCTTGCCCACAGGCTGCATGGAATTTGGCTGAGGGATGCAGCCCATTCTAGAGCAGGAGCTTCTGAAGCTTTGGACCACTGGTCAGATTTCCAGGCATATGTCTCAACTTCTGTTCTACCGCTCAGAAAAATAGTGCTCCTAAAGACTGGTGGGAAGGCTGTCCATTCTACATTGATTTACTGAAACCGCAGCCTTTAAAAAATGGTACAACTCGTACTTGCTGTTAAGAGCATTTCCTGGTTACTGATTTATTTCTTCTGCTGGACTCCTTTCTCTCCCTCTCTTTTCTCACCAAGGGACAGCTTGCGTCAACAAACTCTGCAGGACTTCAGACCTCATGGCAATCTGTTTGATGGGCTGAAGGTTCAAGAAAGAATGCGGGAGGCTTGTAAATGATAATGCTGAGATGACTTCTGAAGGATAAATTCCATAGCTCTGTCTGGGAAAAGGCAGTAGCAAGAGCTTGGAAGTGTTAAACCACCAACAGCAAATTTTTCTGCAGATGAATACAAAGTACAAATGTGTATTTAGCAGTCCACAACCAGTGTGGCTAAAGCTCTCCCCAGTAAGACCAGTCTTTCCTCGTGCTTGTTCAAAGGCCAAGACCAGTGCCTGATCCCCAGGAAGTGCTTCCTGATGTTGTTGCAATAAATCATAGTTGAACAAGTGGAAGGGGCTCCACTTGAGTCTGTCTCCTTGAAGATGGTTGCATTGGTGATATTATTTCATGAACTTCTGACAGTAGAAGTTCATGAAATAATGTACTCCTGTATCCCAAACAAAATAATATGTACTTCACTCAAGTCAAAGAGAACATTTTTTAAAGCAGGGGTATGGTGGACTCCAACTCCCATCAGTCCCATTCAGCATGCAGTGATTGGACTTGTAGCCCAACAATTTCTAGGAGGCACTGGTTCTATACCCTTTTAAGTCTCTAGCAATGGTTACATGCCATCTGACTTTAATAAGTAGCCCCTACTTGGCAGCCTTGCTCAGCCCTTGTAAATTCAAGGCTGTGGCTTTTGTTTCTGAATGGATCCGTCTCATAAATTTGCCATTTATGTTAATTCCAGAGTCACCATTCTGAGCATGCCACCTAATGGGAAGAAGGCAAGCCCAGAGCAGCCAATCAATCAATGCAGTCATTCAGAAGGTTGCTATTTTAGGTTTCTGTAAGCCTTTATGTTGGGTGGAGTTCTGTGTGAGCACCACACTCGAACTATGGGTTGTTGACCACAAACCATATTTTACAACACAACAACAAACCGTGTGTTCTTTGCTCGTTGACAACCCGTAGTTCAACAGAGTGCAGGGTTTGTATGTCACAACAACCATGGTTAAACAACAACCTGTACTGAACCCTTACTCTAGGTCATTTGTAGGCAAACCCATGAAAATGCTGCTCTTTTGATAGAGTTTCCTTAATGCACCTGAAAAATAAGCAATCCTGTTTTATAGCATTTTTTAAAGAAAAGATCACTTAGCCCATAAACGAAGTGAATTGTTTTTGATGGCTTTCGCCCTTTGATGAAAAGGATAATTATCCTCAAGTGTGGCAGCAAAGGAAACAGTATGGAAGTCTACAAAATGAAGTTAGTATATGCCATGTAAACATGAGGTATGTATAGCTATTTAAATTGTGCTTCTTTGCAGACCCTCCAAGCATCTTCACAACTACCTACCTGTCTTCTGCAAAATCACACAACATGTCTTCCAGAAGCTGTCCTTTGCCCCATATTTGTCAAGCCCTGTTCTTGCATCCTGTAAATTGGCTCCATGTCTAACTAGTGCACCTGGCCTGGCGGAAGCCAACTTCTTTGCTGCCTCCTCTCTAAGGGACCTCCTTCAGCTCCTGAAAATGGCACACAGAGGAGCAGGAGAGCCCACCGGATGGTGTGAGGGAGGGGACCCCAAAACTCAGACATTTTGTATGAGCAGAGTCCTGTCAACAGAAAACAAACCCTGCATCCAACCTTGTATCCACAGCATATAGTTCAACAATCTACTGGGCAATTTCATGGGGTGTTCAGATGTTCAGCACCCTTCCATGTAGTCATCCTATTACAAGACACACCATTTGATCAGTGCTGTTAGTGCCATGCTGCAATTCAGCAGACTTCCAATTTACGGCAAGCTCTGCTCCAGTCCACGAGGTTCTGCCTAAGACCTTTGCTAGCCTAGCTCTGTTTTTAAGAATTGGACATCACCACCCTGGGCAGTGAATGGAGAAGAAGAGAAAAGGGCTTCAAGCAAGAGTTGCCGAGAGACGAGTGAGCTAAGAAGGCACCAACCTACCCCATCAGGATGATGCGGCGATCACAAGCAGTTTTGTGTTTTGGGATCCTGAGGTTGCAGACTAGAAAAGATGCTATAATGGGAAGGCTGTTACATTCCGGCTAAAGAGAAAGGGGTATTCAAGGTATGAAAGTACCTGAGGAACAAATGAGTGGTAGAAGGGTGGAAACCTAAGACATGCTATCAAAAAAGTCAAATTGATTCAGCCTGGATTTGAACGGCCAGTTGCCTGTACAATTTGTGTACCTCCTGGATCTAAGTGCACTTGATAGTGGCCAACATTTCTGGCTCGTGTGTAGCAAGTCTGCACGATGAAAGAGAGCCACTGTGATGTGTCCTTGGGTAGCCATGCTCCTATTTCCTGCCCCAGAGTAGTTTTGCCTTGAGGTATAGAGCATTCGGGCAGGAATGCCCATGGAGCAGAGGGTGTGTGCGTGTGTGCGTGTTTCACTCATGCACAATACTGCCAGCATTGTTTGTGCTGCAGGTTCCAAAGTGATGGAGACAGGGATTCTCAAGGATTTCATTCTGCCTGCAGTTTTCCATGAACCAACCTGATGATACTTTCCTGAGTAGAACATGGATCGAAATGTAGTTCTCATGTTCTTGGGGAAACACAAAATAGCATGTCCATGTGGCTCCATGGTTTTTAATATTCACAGTTTGATGGAACAGAGACTTGAACAAGTGTGTGTGAAACAGGCATGCGGATGGAAAGAGCCTGAAACATTCATCCTAAGGGAAAGCACCCATGGGAGGGCATGCACACAGCACATGAGTCAACTATGTAAAGATGAACTCCAGCAACAGTCGGATGTTTGGATGGAGGCGATCAACTCCGAAGTGCAGCGTGTTAGCCAGGCAGGACTTTAATTGCAGTGATCCATTTTGTGGAGAAAGTGATGGTGGGGATGCACGTGGATATCATGACTTACTGCCCTTTGTTCAGTATCTGAGATGCCATCAATGCCTGCTTGGCCACGTTACTGTTGGTGTGGCCGCAGAGTTTCTCAAGGGTCTCTTTCATCTTGTCCTCCTCAGCTTCTTGTCTTAGTTCATCTGAAAGGGATAAAATATTTTTTAAGAGGGACAGCCTGTCACAGTAAATGCTAAGTCAAGAAGCGAAAGGGTCTATCTAGTCTAGGGATTCTTTGTTGATGGAGTAATGAGGGCTCTAATACAGTGGTGCAAATATGGGGAACTGGCAACATGCATGAAAACTCTGGAATAAAAGGAGAGGGACAACAAGACAGAATTGGAAAGCAGCAGCGGCCTGTGACATGGGATTACTCAGGTGACACGCTACTGTGATAAAAGTTTGGTGTAGGTGTCCTGAACTAGGGATTGTATTTTGTTTGGCTTGAGAAGGAAAGAAGGTTCCACCTCTGCTGTCTTCTTACTCAGATGGGTCCTGGGCAGCTGCCATTCCAAGCTCCTCTTCCTTTGCATCAGCCATTCCAATAACCTCTTGTGCCAGAGCTTGTTTCTTGGGCATGCTTATTTTCCATGCACCTTTAGCTCATTTCCCCTTCTGGTCTAGTGTCTTACTGGGTTGAGCCACATTTCAAAACTCAAGCCCGAGTTAGTTTGGGCAGCAAAAGGTGTAGATACGCAGTAAAAAATGTTAAAGACCCACTGACAAAACAGGAATATTCTGATCTCTGTATGTGATGTGGGTGTGATGTCGTTAATGTGCCCCACTCAACCTCTTTGAAAGTTATCAGAAAGTGCCGATCGTCATTCAGGCCATTCTTGAATTACTCATTTCTGTGATATGAATGAGGCTTTTCAAAGTATGAATGAATAGGTCTCTACAGTCCAAAAGGAGTTGCCTCTTTAACGTTTTAACAGTATGGCAAACTTCTTAACACTAAAAGAGGTTGGAGAAAGTAACATGGCTTCAGGAAGCAGTGAGTTCTGCTTCACTGGATGCATTGAGGCAAAGACTGGAGGGTCATCTGTCAGGGATACATTGAGCAGGGGGGTGGCTTAGATGACCTCCAAGTTCCCTTCTAATTACCTGTGGACATTTTGTTTGAGTCCTGGTTAGCTCTTCTGTTTTGAATTACAGAAGACCCATTTGAGCTTCCCAGCCCATTTCTGGGAGGCCATGCCAAGCACTGATTGGATGGTGCTACTTCTGGCTGGATAACATCTTTGGTAAAGCAAAGTGGGTATACATGTAACATAACAGTAATTGTAATAATGGAAATGGTAATAATGTTCACCAGAAATCAGACTACAACCAGCCACTGGTGATGTTGGCCCAGAGATGGGGTTGCAGTCCAAGACAACTGAAAGGTACCATGTGTGAATAAAGTAAACATGATCTTTATTCACTGTGCAGAGTTGGTGGCTATTGAAAGACATCTGGGAAAAGATTTAGTTTGCTTCCTGACTTGCTCAACTGTGCACATTTCCTTCACCTTATACAGTAGCACATTCTGATTCATGCATCCATTTGACTTAAATTACCTGAATTTAAGAGACTGCACAACAAGCCTATTGCATTATATTTCACCTCTGGACCAGTGTTCTCATCCTGGAGAAGTTTGTGTATGTTCTGAACTAGCCTTGCCTCTTTAAAGGCCTCTTTGATGATTTCTGCAAAGGAGAGGAAATGTTTAAAGGCATGTAAGACATTTCTAGGGCTGTAGATGCTTGCAGGTGGATTTTATTCCCCCCACATGCAGACACAAAACTCCAACCCTAAGCTGGCATAAGACTTCTACCTTAGTACAGGCTGGTTTTTTGGAGAATTTTCACACCAAAAAAATGTCTAGAGCTATTAGGACTAATGAGAGTGCATGAACTCCAGCGGGACCACCCCTTTCTGAAAGTAATTTATTTCTGCCTTTCTCAGTTTCAGTAGATACTTCCTCTTCCCTTCAATATCATTTGTCTGTGAAACAAAGCGCATCTTGGTCTGTAAACAGCTTGGACACAGTAGCGCAGCTCCACTATTTCTCTGTTAGTTTTGCTGGACATAAAAGCAGCCAGAAAGTTAATCCAGCTTTCAGTTCACATAATGGCGAACCTGCTACTGGTGGAAAGGGCATGGGTGCAATAGCACCACCTTAGATGCATGTGCGTACGCATCCTGACTCCAATACTGCAAACTACATAGAGCACCCATGACCAGTAGACATCAAGTCTTCTCCCCACACATCCTTCCAATCCCTTTTCAAAGCCCTCCAGAATGGTGGCCATTGCAACATTTAGAGCAAGCGAATTCCATAGTTTCACTATATGCTGTATGAAGATGTATTTCTTTCCTCTGCCCTGAATCTCTCAGCCATCAGCTTCATGGGTTGATCCCGGGTTCTACTATTATGGGAGAGGGAGAAAATTGCCTCTCCTCTCACACCATGCATAATTCCATGCACTTTGTTGCTCATTAACCATCCCAGAGGTAACTTCTCAGAGGGATTTGTCTTCAGACTCTTGGCTTGGTCTTGCCAGCTCAGCCCGTACCTTTGCTTGCCGACCTTGGCCCCAGGTCTGTGGGAAAGCATCAGCCTACTCAAGACATGATGATGGGGTTGGAGTATAAAATGGATAGCTTGACCGATAAAGGTCTGTGCAAACAGTCCATTTGAAATGCCCCACATTCTATGGGATGCCCACTTAAGGAACAGTGTCGCAGAAGGGCTTGAATACCTAAATTGATTGCAGAAGAGATAGCCAATGCGATCAGTGCTTCATTCTGCATTATGACGTGCTCGCTGGTTGCCATGGATGCCAAGTACTTCACTGCCTGGGCCTCATGAACAGCTCTGATGACTTTCTGTTGACAGAACAGAGGGGGGAGGATCAGATTTCTTAAAACAGCTCACACTGAACAACAAAGGCAGTTATGGGTAACAGTGGCATTCTAGACCCCATCTGGGCAGCTTGGGAATGGAACGGCTGTCTCAGAACAGGGAAGATCATCAGCCTGGCACCTCCCTGCCCCAAATGTCTGTGCCACTGGAGAGGGAAGCCACTGCTCCAAGAGTTCTGTAGTTTGCCTGAATACCCTGAAAGGTTTACTTAAACTGATTGTCCCAAAATATCTCCCTTACGTTTCCAGTGTGCTTGCTTTGTACAAATTATCACCCACTCTGAAGACCAGACAGGGAAGTGGTGTCTGTCCACCATGGCCGAGGATGGAGTAGGAACCTTCTTGCCTCCTATAGTGCATTCTGTAAGAGTCCCCCCTTCCACATGGAGAGCTGGCTGCCCACCCAGAATTGTCCACTTAAAAAAAAAATCCAGGCTGACTACTCTGGACCAGAAGTTTGGCCTATACAAGCCAGCAAGTGAAGATTCTGCAATCAGGAAGTTGCTGCTGAAGTCTCCTTATCAAGCTGCTATCAGTGTAAAAGTAAGGGCTGTTAAAAACTATGAAAACCCTATCTCCCCCCATGTCCCTGTATTTTCTGGTTTCCTGGGGGCTTAAGTGTTTCTTCTCAGAGTATGTTTCCGTTTCTTTGTTCTGCATGCCTATGTCCCGAAAGAGGATCAGTATTAAGCAAACCACGCATCAAACCTGTCTTAGTTTATTCTTGGAATAACTTCCTTTTATTGAGGAGGCCAGCTATTGCGACTTTTTAAACACGTTAGAATGAAATATTGAGTGAACTGCCTTGTGAAAAAAGGGAGAGCAGCTTAACTTCTTCCTTTTTTGGAACTCACTGAGTGAAAAATAGAAATCAATTTAGCTGTCATAAATTATGTCAGTGAAGTATATAGCAGGTGCTCAACCAAATCCACCATCAGTTAGAGTAGAAGGCATGCTCCAACCAATTGCAACCTGGAATGGAAGATTCTGACCTCACCCGTGGCCGGAGACCATGGCTCCCTGGCGAGCTAACCCCTGCCTCTCAGGAAGACTGCCAGGACAAGGAGACCAGCCTACCTACCACCCATCAGTCGGAGAAGCAACAGCTGCAGGAAACATTTGCACCCTCCTCTGACAGAAAAAAAATGCCTGTAAATGCTTCAAAATGAAGAACTGGTGTTTCAGTTTGCTTTTTTCTCTTCTGCCTCCCTTCTGCCTCTTTTTGTGCCATGTCTTTTGGATGGTAAACTTTGCAAGTTCCTCTGCAGCCCCCTTTTAGTTAAAGAGCAGAGTAAACAGTACTGTAAGTAAATAAAGAAATAATTAAAGGAATAGCAGGTAATCAAAGATGATTCAGGTGCCTTTTAATGGCTGTTTTGGACTACCCATTACTAATTTTTATGAATTTCCTTTTTTTCTGTCTCAAAATCTGTAATCTGTGGACACCCAACAAAAATTCCACTTCACTAAATGCTGTGATTGTGACCAGCAGATGGGAAAACATGGCCCAGGAATTCACGTGGCTATCACACCAATGTCTGCTTGATGGAAGAAACACAAATGTTGGTAAGTGACATCTTTTGTCCCTGTAACCCAGAGGTGGGACAGCGACCTTTATGCACCCCTTGACATTGTGGTGATCAAAGGGACATGATGAGTCATCAGCTTTTTTGCATGTGGGTTTTGGGAGACAGTTTTTGGGAGACAGTTTTTGCAAACAGAGGAGCTCAGGCGAAATCTGATGGACAAATGTGAGCTGGTTCTTATTCCACTACTATGGCCATTGCTCAGGTACCAACTCTGAAGAAACAGTATGTGCAGGGAAGAAGCTGTGGATGCAGCCACAAACCTTCCTGGCAGTCCACTCTGGGCGTGGCAACTCAGGTCTAGTCTGCGTCCCTTCCTCCCAGTTGCTTTCCAGCAAAACTAATTGCTGAAGGTAGGAGCTGCTGATTTTCCCAAGAGAGTGAGGCTATTGCAAGCAGGAAAATATACTGTTGTTATTACATTGCATTTGTACCCCTCCTTTTTGCCTCCTGCGAGGAACCCGTGTTGTGAGCAGATACACTCAGAAAGGTCCCATCCAAATAATTCACAGCAGACCACTGAAGGCGAACGTCAGTTCCCGAGAACTAATCAAAACCAGCGCATTGCGTACTTCAGAGCGACTGTGGCGTATGAGCGATGCCAAGAGTCGGTTTGCTTCTCCGCAGACGCCGGCATGGTCTTTTGAATCACACCAGTGCACCAGCCTGCTCAGCAGCAAGTGCTCTTGGCCCAGTTCCTGCGCCGCATCAGCTGAAAGACAAAGATTGAAACATTTTGTAGATGGCCGCCTGGCAGCAGCTGGCAGCTCTCCCCCTTCGTTTTAATTAATGACTGCAGCGTAGTGAAGCTTGGGCATATCCTAGACTCCCTTCTCAGTTATACCTACATACATGGGACTTCTTCCCAGACATGTTCTTGTACCAGCTGCTTGGTGCCGGCATCATCAAGAACTGGTCTACATACACCAGAAATCACACACACGTGTCCATGGGTGCCCAGGCACTAGCAGCCAACTCGCTTAGTACTGACCAAGGTGCCCTCCCTCTGAAATGCCAGTGATTTAAATGTAAGCCCTAATTTAGAACAAGGAACACAATTTCTTAGTAACTGAGATTGCTGCAAAAGAGGCTCGGAGAATGCTACAAACTGGGACTCGAGGGATGACTTGGTGCACTGGGAGATATACCCCACCCCTGTTTCACACTGAGGCTTTTGGCAAGTGAGGTGTCCTCTGTCACACCCCCATGGCAAACTTTTTGTGGGGGTGCCCAGGAGAGTTTTCAAACTGCCAAAGGGCACAAACAGGTTGGTGTATGTGGGTGGGTCTTTACAGTGAAAATACTGTGGACAGAGCTTTTGGATCATCACAAAGGTTATGTTTTTCAGCCAAGGAAAGCAGTATGCTCAGGAAAGAAAGATGGAGAAGGTGGTGGGGAGCTCCTGGCCAGCAATTCTATCATGGTTCCTCCCCATCCTGCCAGCTTCTTCCTTTGCTTCAGGCAGGGGAACCAGAGACAAACTCTTTCCCTTTCTCTCCCTCCCTGGGTGCATTTAGACTTTGTAAAAGCCTCTATTAGCATCAATGGGACCTCATTTCTGAGTGGCATTTCCTGGGGGGTGTACACTGGTGCAGGAGAGAGAGACAATTAGAGGATGTTTTGCCAGGGATCGAAAAAACGGCATAATGCCCTATAAACATCACAGCAGCTCACTGGGTGATTTTTATGATTTTTACAGAGGTCTGGAGAAAGGCCAGCTTATGCATTCACATGCATCACTGGATAGCTCCTGATTTCATGACTTGCAAATGGATGTTTAAGTTGCCTTCATTGGGAAGCATTGTCTTTGACAGAGTGCATGTGTGAACAAGTCCCAAACTGTTTGCATCCGAACACAGAAGCTGTTTCTACTGGAAAGCATTGCCTTTGAGCCCATGAGCATATCCTGTCTGCAGCATTGCTATCCAATCGCCCATTCATACATATGGGTTGTCACTCAAATACTGCAGCCATCAAATGAGAAACACGCTACCATGAAAAGGCACCAGTATGAGGAAGGCGTGACTAGAGTTGAAATTGTAGTTTTATGGTGGGCACATGGAATTTGGGTTCTTGCAGTGATGTTTCCCAAGAGGAATTCAGGCCCCAGTTCTTGAACACAAGTGCTTACAAACATCCAGTGCAGAATGGTGGAGGTCATCTCTGCCTCATTGCACCTCCCACCTGGCATTTCTGCTCAAAGATCTGTCTTCCTCCTTGGATATGGGGAGCTGATTAATCCCCCAACTCCACCCATGATAGGGTTGCTCCATTACGACACCCCCCCCCCCGCCCAGGTCCATGTTGCACTCTGCCACTGCCACATTTTGTACCCAAATTTCCTCTTGAGAGCCGTTTTCAGCCGTCCTGATAAAGTGTCCAGGAGAAGGAGGGTGAAACTTGAACCTGAATCCCTGACACACCTCTTTTTGCCTTCCCCAAGGCCCAGCTACAGCCTTGGAGAGAAGGCCAGCATGGCTCCTGCTGCTCCAGGGCAGGGACCTGGCCTCTGGAAGTCCAGCACTGAGGCTGCAGGAGCTTGGAGCTGGCATCTGAAACAACCCAGGGCTTCCCAGACAACGCTGGGAGGCCACAGTGGCATGCCATTAATGCCTATGCACTTGGGAAGACTAGCTCCCTTCTAGCAGCAGGCAGACAGGAAAGAATTTCTCTCTTAGACTGCTGTTCAGTTAGCTACTTCCACGGAGGGTTCAGCTTTGTATAATTAAGAAAAGGAACCTATGTTTCTAAATTCTGCAGGCATCAACACACACGGCGATTGTCACGGTAATGAATTTACATTAGATAATGCAATCAACTAATTTAGCAGGGACTTATTAGAAGACACATGTTCATGGGAGGGTATTGTGCGGAGTTAATTAAGGTCAATGTTGGCTCACGGGTAAATAGAACAGATGGCTATTAAGGTGGGAAGCTCTGTGCTTACTGCCACGGAAGGATAAATCTTGAGAGCAAGTTGGGGTTTTTTCCTTGCTTTATGTGAGGTAGGAGAGCTTAATGTGGCATTGAATTCCAAAAGTAGTTAATGTTGATGGGCTGGAGTCCAGAGCTGGATTATGAAGTTGGGGAAGCAAATGTTTAGTTAAAAGAAAAGTAGTTTATCTTTAGGAGGTGTTGGGATGCACAAGGGGTGGTGTATTATTTCTGTTCTTGTGTCAACCTACTCCTTTGATGTTAGTTTTCTCCTTGTGGCAATTATAAGAAGTCAGACATTTGTGATGCCTTTTAGCAGATAGTGGAGTATATAAATGAAAATATTCATTCAGAGTATCCTACAGATTTCACAGGTGCAAATTAGGACCAACAATGCCCCTATTCTCACACCAAGGATCACTTCCTGGTTAGCTTGTGAACGGTGACTGCGAATTGAAATTGGGCTGAGGAAGTGTGACAGGGGACGAACTGCATTCTGCTGTCCTTTGTAAGCTTCAGAGAAGGGTCCAACTTGGCCTGGTCCGACACTACAATTTCAGGGCTGGCCTGCATCTTTGTGTGGACACGAGCAAGATTCTACCGTCCGATGCTCACTTCCCAGCTTCTTTGCCTATTCCGGTGCCACACTGCTGACCCAGACCTCCTGATCCTTGGAAGATCAACCACAGCATTTCATGCCACTGATTTTAAGAACATATGAAAAGCCGTGCTGAGTTCGGTGAAGGGTCCCCCAGGCTAGCACATGTTCACGTGTGGCAACCTCCTGCCCGGGGGGCCCTCAAGCGGGCAGCAAGCCGTTCCCTCCTGTCCAAGTTCCCCAGGAGCGGGTGCATGCAGGCCTGTTGCCTCTGGTATAGGAGGTAACGCAGTGCCAGCAACGCAAATAGTTCTGGATAGCTTTCTCTCCCACGAATTTGTCCCTTTAAATCTATCCACCACTACTTCTGGTGACGGCAAAAGCCATGCTTTAACTGTGCCCTCTGTGAAGGAGAGAACACTGCCTTCCATTGCTGGTGAAAGCCCAAAAGGCTCCTATGGTGTTGGTAAGATGTGCCAAACCTGAGCCATTCACATGGGCAAAAATATAAGAAGATAAGAAAAGCCGTGCTGGATCAGACCCTCTAGTTGAGCTCTCCATACACAAGGTGGCAAACCAGCTACCCACAGGGTGGGTGCAAGACCTCCTCCCGCCCAAGCCCCTCAGCAACTGGGGCATGCAGGCAGGCCACCTCTGGTGAAGGGGCTAGCACATGGCCAGCAAGGCCAGTAGCCACAGATGGCCTCCTTGAATCTGTCCAAAGTCATCCCTAATGGCAGCCCCCACCACTTCGCGTGCCAGCAAATCCCATAGTTTAACTATTTTCTGTGTGAAGAAGTCCTTCCTTTTATCTGTCCCAAACCTCCCACCAATCAGCTTAATGGGATGACCCCGAGTTTGGTTATTATGGGAGAGGGAGAAAAAATGTCTCCATTCTACTTTCTCCACACTGTGCATTATTTTAAAGACCTCCAGCATGTCTACCCTTACTTGCCTTTTTTCTAAGCTGAACAGTTCCAGCTTTTGTCGCTGCTGCTCACAGGGGAGCCGCTCCAGCCCCTGATTTTTGCTTCTCTGCACCTGCCCTATTAGAATACAGTTATTCCTTTTCTTGTGACGTTTGCCAATAAATCTTAAAAGATGGACTAGCTTGACAGTTCCTGGCATTCTCTCACCTTGGCCATCCATCAGCATCCGCAGTGTTCCGAGAAGTTTAAATTGCACAGGAGGCATCTCTGACCTCAAAAGCATCTGGATCCGTTTGCCGACCCCTTCATCCAGCATCTGAACCTTGTTAGCCACTGGGAAACGGGACAAGATGACAGGTGTGATGATTGGTGATCTGGTTCTTGCTATTTTACTGTCAGGTTGTCATTCAGCTGATGGGAGACCATAGAAGCCATGGCTATGCTTTGCAGAATGTGTCCAGGCAATGGCTGCTGCAGCAAAATGGTTTGGACTACCTGCTAAATGGAACTGACAATTCTATGCAGATAGCTTCGGCATTTTATAAGATTTATATCAATTAACTAGTACGGACTTGGTTTGGGAAACCTCTGACATACAAATACAAAATGCAATTTTCATCAGTGATTTAACTGAGTCTCATGTCTCAATGATTTCAAGAAATTCAACCTGATTTTGGAACCCCAGTGACTTAGCTGCTTGTATTCAATGTATAATTTAGTGATGTGGAACAGGAACTCTAAACAGATGCATGCACATACAGGTACATGGATGTGTGATTAATAATCTCAAGATCAGCTTAATGCATCTCTGATCATCGCTGTGGGACTTGTTTACCCAAATTAACAGAGGGCTGGGAAGCGTCTGAACCCAAGATCAGCTCCAACGTTCATATAGCGCAGAGGTGGCCAAACTGCGGCTCAGGGGCCACATGCAGCTCTTTCAGTTTATTTCTCTGCTTGCTGCTGCAGCCGCCCATGGGTACCGGCACCCCCCTGCCACTTGCCACCCACGGCATGCCTGCCCTTTGCCGCCTGCTGATGCCACCCCCAGGTGCCTGCTTGCGGCTCTCCGACTCCCGACATTTGCTGTATGCGACTTTTCCATTGAGCAACGCTGGACACCCCACAGAGTGCTTTCCAGAGGTGGTGAAGCAGGCGAGTGGGTACGGTGGAGGCAAAAGTCATGGCAGGGGAATGCATTGAAATGAGTGCCCAGTGCATCACCAATTAATTCGTTTTTCGTCTCTGACCCTAACCTTCTGCTCAATTCTGTACTGGCCAATGAGGGGGATCAGGTTCTCTTGTCCATGAAATGCAGCTAGGTAAGCCAAGATCACAGAGAAGGCCTGTTTCCCCACAGCTTCGCAGCTCATTTGGCTCTCCATGGGTTGCTTGCTTAGTTCCTCCACTTGGTGGGTCTACTTCAGCAGCAATTTTTCACTGAATTTCTAAAATAAAAAGCAGGGGATACCAGCTGCCTGGATGGCATCCTATTCTCCTCCATCTTGAAAGAAGCCCACCCGCTGAGTCCCAAGCATATGGCGGCTGGTTATGATTATTCAGTGATGGAAAGTACCCTGCACATGATCAGGGTACTTCATATTGCTAGGACTATGCAGGTATATTTTGCTTTGGCCTGCCTCAGATCCAATCCTGCCCTTTTTCCATGTGGCTGAAATAATTTGTTCTTTTTGTAAAGTGTTTTCATTTGCAGGAGGCTAAATGGCTTCCAAAGAAAAGCAAACAAACTGCACAAAACCACAGGGCAGATGCTCCCTGGCATTTTAAATCTATGTTTCCCTTGTTTTGGTTGGTATGCATTGCCCTGAAAGTATACCTAAATTAAGTCATCCTATAGCATGGGCTCTTTTTTGCAGTTCAGATTGACTCCCTAGAGAAAGCCGCTGCTTTGAATTTGCAAGAGCTGAGCAGGGCTGCCTTGGATAGGACACCTTAGAGGACTTTCATTCATAGCATTTCCATAAGTCAGAGACAACTTGAGGGCACATAACAATGGTCATGATTTTTACACAGAAACTGTTCTAGAGGTGGATCTCATTTTTTTTCTGTGAGTCAGGGCCATCCATGAAAGCCGGTCCTTCCTGCCTGTTGATGGGTAGAGAATGGTTGATGTTTCTTTGTGGGGAAATAAAAAAATTCTGCACATGCTTTGTGAGTCCTGTATAAGTTCAGGGAAAGAAGTGGAGTTTCAGACTAGTAGCATTACCAGTTCAGAAATAAGTCACCAGCAGCCCTGGTGGAGATGGAAGCAATTGTGCTAGTCAAAAGCTTGAATTCTTTTGTTACATCTTGGGAATGATGAAGACCTATTGGTGGTTTGAGAACTTACATGAAAAAGATAGCCTAAAAGATAGAATGAGAAATAACCCAATAATTGTTGCTTCAAGGTCAACACCTCCGCTTTGTCTAAGGAGATTATTCCTCTGACTTTTGAATGTAGTTTTCTGCCCTGTCCATGCCTGACTCTTTTGGTGAAGCAATTCCAGGTAATAATTAAGAGCAAACTTCCCTGGGAAGAGACGTATATTACCTACCAAGCAATTTCCTGACAGGTGGTGTGCACTTTTTCTGGCCTAGAGCAAGTGCAGCAGGTTGACATCCCTTGCTGGTTCCTTTATCATGCTGGGAATCTGATGGTTAATTAATTTGTTTGTAATTTCCTTGAGCTTCAGTAGCAGAAATTCAAACCCTAGGCCCTTGAGTGTGTTAGAATGTTCAAAGAGATCTCCCTGGGCAGAACGATGAAGGTTTAATCAATTAATAACAATCCCTGTACCTGTCCATACATTTTTAAAAGACTGTATCTAATTGATTTCATTTCATGTTCGGCTTGACTTTTTCATCATTAGTTGCGTTTTGGCTCATCCTTTTTAAAAAGGATGTTTATTGAATGGACAGAGAATATGGTTAAACCAGAAGGCCCAAGGAGGTACCTTGCACAAATGGTGTGCTTTAGATTGGAAACAACACAGTAGTGCATTGGGTGTTGCGGGGTTAATTTTCGTACATATCTTTCTTCTCTGAGAAAATCACTTTTGGTACTTTTGATCTTCCCCCTATTGGCATCATTTCTTCGCAGCTCTTCTGCAGCAATTAACTGAAGGCGAGTGAAGACACCGTCTTGTGGGGCCTGTCAGTTGTCAGTACAGAATGGGTTTAGCCATTCTTCGGCAAATGTTTTCTTGAACACAATGCCATAACTACGGATGGGACAAACTCTGGAAGGATCCGTTCTTCAAAGAACTCCTGGGCATTCTCTTGCACTCAGCCTGGTCTTCCAAAGAGAGACAAATCCAGAGAACTTCTGCAAAGGCTTGCCGAGTCCCAGTTGTGCCTGTGGAGTCCCAGTCGCCTCTTCTGCATTAGCATCAGCAGCCCAAAAGGCGGCTACCAGCACTTGTGTGGTGGGTACCCAACAACCAGTTGCCCCACAACTGTCCTTCTTCAGCAGGAAGAACGGCCCCCATTTGAACAGCTGCCCTGGGTCATGAGGAGGATCTGGTACAGGGTTCAGGGGCTGGTTCTTTGGTGGATGTCCTGAGGCTACCTTTCTTCAGTGTGAGGAGCAGCGGCTGCTTGCACAGTGCATGAGACTTGATTGCTCGTGAGCACCCATTTAACGCTGGGTGTACTCACAAGGAACATGGGCTCTGGACCCCTGCAAAGTGGGCCAGAGTCCAGGGAGCCAGGAATTCCTCAGACATCCCAGCCATAACCAAGTGTAGCTGGAGTTGTAGAGCTTTTTTCTCTCTGAACAGGCACAATCCTGGGGCACAACCCAAGCCTTCCTGGCATCTTCTGGAAGGCCATAGGATTATTCGGAGTCCCAGATCTGAGGTCCTGTGACTCCAAAGGCCAACTTCTCCCAACCTTCCCTATGGCTCACAGAGAAAGAACTGTGCTGACTACTCCCTTCCCAGTTCCAACTGGGCCTCAGAGGTGGGAAAAAGGGACAAGCTGAGGGGCAGGGAGTGGATGCCGGAGCAAAGGCCTGGCCCTGATTCCTATCAGCACCCTGGCCTGCTTCTTCCTCCCTTCCTGCTGCTTTATTGAGATGACCACCCCTGCCCTTTCTACAATGCATAGGAGGCATGCAAGGCAGTGGATCATGTCTGGAAGCTCTCCAAAGCACATACTGCACAATAGTTGTGACTGAAACACATCCTATTCAAATAGGTGGCTCAAGAGGCCATGGGAAACTACATCGACCATCTCAAACACTTTGTCCAGTGTCCAGTTCACCCCACATTGTCTCTCACAGGTCATGGTTCACCAGAGCCTGGGGCTGGAAAGCGTCTCACCTGGTATGGAGAGGCCAAATATTAAACAGGGACACTCCTGTATGCAAACAGGTGGTCTGCTGCCGAGCCACAATCCTCCCTTTTATAGGATATGGATAAGAGATGGAAAGGTAATATCTGCATTTTGCTTCCATTGGTGTGCACTTGCGTGAGTGCACATGGATGTCATGATGTGCATTCTCTCCATGAGTTTTAGCATCTACATGTCTGTGTAAGAGGAGCCTGAAACCCAAACTGCTCCAATGCTCAGGTATCCACTGCGCCATTTTTTAAAACCAAAGGTCATTCTCTACATCCCTTCTGAACATAAACAAAGAGAGTTTATCAGCAACAGGAACCAGAAAATAGCACCCTGATCTTTTGCATTTCCTTCCCAGCTTCAATTCTTTCCTACAACATCATCAGATTGTGGATTTAGTTCAATTAGATGGTTTCTTCAAGGTTTTCATTATACCTGGTATAGCAAGGTTTCTGAGTGCACTAAGAGCCGCATGTTGCACAGAGACATCTCCATTTTCCACGTGTTTCTCCAAAAGGTCCAGAAGCTGATGCACCACTCCCAGCTGCACCATCCGAACACAGTTGATGTCTTGAACAAGCAGGGAAAACAAGCAAGCCATCAAAGGATTAGAATCAGGTTTATACTAATGATATAAACTCAGGTCTTAAGAACAGATGCTTTAGCTACTCCTGTATTTGTGCAAGGCCAAGAATTTAACCTTACCTGGATGAACATTGCCTTGCAACAGCGACCCATGCTCTGGTAACTTCCTGGTTAGATTACTGTAACATGCTCTACAAGGGGCTGCCCTTAAGGATGGTCTGGATACTTCAATTGGCTCAGAATGGAGCTGCCAGGATGTTAACCGGGACTGGCAGGTATGGGCATATAACGCCGGTCGTCTACTGGTTACACCAAATGAAGTCTGGGCTCAATTTAAGGTGCTGGTGATGACCTACAAAGCCCTAAATGGCTTAGGACCTGGATATCTAAAAGATTATCTTCTTCCCTGTGTGCCCCCTGCTTCTTGAGATCTGAGGCAGGGCTCTGGGAGCCCTCCCTGAAGGAGATTAGGAGGGAGAGTACCTGGAGGAGAGCCTTCTCTGTGGTGGCACCCTGACTATGGAATACGCTCCCCAGAGAGGTTTCCCTGGCGCCAACGTTATATTCTTTTCAGTGTCAGGCAACCCCCTTTTTATTTTCCCATTATTCTAATGGTTAATTGATTTTAACTGGGGTTTTAGTATATTAATGGTCGGATGCTGTGAGGTTTGTTTTATTCTACTCATTTATTGTAAGCATCTGGAACTTGCTTAAATCTTAGATTGCCATGGCTATGGGAATAAAATGGTAATGTTCTATGTGGCCCTGAACTTTGGCCCTAAAATCCAGCCCCAGGGCTCCATGGCCTGTAGCAAAGAGAAAACCTCAGTGCCACTCCATCAATTCTCCCACCAACTCCTCTCTTCCCTGATTGGTTTTTGTCCAAGCTGGCCTTATAAGAACGTTGAAACATAGAGCTGGTGCTTTCCTATTTTCCTTCTTGCCTCTCCCCTCCTCCTTTCTTTTCTGTCCTCTCATTTGGATTGTAATCCTTTTATTTGAAAAGATAAATAGTTTACAAATATTACACTGATTCAACACACACACAGAATTGCGGCCTTGGGGACAGTCTAAACAATGACAAATATAATCTGGAGGTAAGGGCTTGGTTGTTGCAACGTGGAAGATACGATTCAAAGGAAAAAAAATGTTGGTGTTAACCCTTGTAATGATGACATTTTATACATTTTGTTCTTGCAGGCAGGAGACAAAACTTAGTTATACAGAAGCGAACAGATAAACAACAGGCCAGCTAAGTTTTTGTTGTTGTTCTTTGTTTTTGAACTTATGTAAAGCCGTTTTGGGCTGAATTTCAGAAGGGAAAATGCTTCAGGCAAATGATGAATAACCTCAGTAGCGATGCTTACCATTCCTGGCAAAATTCGCAATGACTAGCGCTCCCGTCAGCTGTAACTGGGTGTGTTTGGAGGTGAGCCATGCACGAGCACTCTGGAAGATAATGCCATGTCCGTCAGCAAACAGCTGCTGCATTGATTCATCTGTAATACAATGAAGGATTGGGTGGGGGGGGGATGAGTGAGAGACAGAGACAGAGACAAAGACAGAGACTGTGGATACTATTGTCATGATCTTGTTTGACTTCTGTGTAACTTGATAGCAAAGGTACTGGCAAACAGTCATGAATGGTCAAGAGATATCCACAGAACCCTGGATGTCATCAAAAATGTCATCAGGGCTCAAGCCCAAGAACCAGACTCAATCTGGCATTCAGTCCTTGAGAAATCAGATTGCTTTTCAGACATGGTATTAATTAATCTTTGTTCAGATTAACTGCAAATCAAATCAGGGAAAATTCAACATATACTGTACATACTGTTACCAGATGGATTTATATCAGATCTGTTGGCACTGTTTGCCTTTGTAGGGAAATCTCTTCAAGCTGTATTTGTGTTTGCTCTCTGAAAATCCAAATGCAGATGGGTGATTATGTCAGCTGTTCTTTAATGGCTAGAAAGTTTTCACAGACTGTCTCTGTCTCCTTTACACTTGGTTCTAGTAGGAATTTTCCTCTAGGTCAAAAACTGGCTAGCATCTTCTTATTTAATACTTATGTATTTGATTCATTTTCATTTATACCACCTAATAGCCAAGGATCTCTTCATTTTCCTGTAGGATGTGACACAGACTGCTCTCAAACTGGTGCTGTATCAACATCTTCCTTGGGGTCTTGCTAGTTCATGCTTTCTTTCTACTCTGGTTTAGGAATAAATCGGTATTGAGGAACTAGAGGTGGTAATCTATTGCCTTATATTGAATCAGGGCATTGGTCTAGCTAATCCAATATGGCATTGGCTCTCTGGGGATTCAGGCAGGATTTTTTTTGCTGGGGATTAAATTTGGTCTTTCTTCATGCAAAACCTAGAGCTCACCTCTTAGCTGCAATGCCTCCTGGGTATATTTTTTCTATTACCAAGCTAATTAAAAAGTGGGGTATGGATGAGTCTACCAATGCAAGAACTCCAGCCATGATTTGCTTCTGTTCCCCCAGCCCTGCCTTTCATGATACAGCATTTTAAACTATGGAGAATGGCCCTTTCTCTCTCAGTTTTTGTACATTATTTGCAAACCGTGGGGTTCCAGCTAATCAGCTTTGATAGGCAAGAATACTTGAACCGCAGGAAGATTCCAGCTACTGGGATGGGAACAAAAGCATTTGCATCTTGAATGGGGCAAATGAAAGATCCTGCCTGGTTGGGTGGTTGGTGCTTACAAGAAAAGGTAGCTAAAAGGCTTGCCACTGACAAAAGCAATTCCTCCGGTGTGGAGAGGCTGAGCTGATGTGCTTTGGAACTAATGAATATCTGCATGTATGCTTGCTTCTCATTTGCTCAGCCTGTGCTCTTGTAAATGATGTTTATTACAAAATGCCCAGTAAAAGTGCAAACAGTTACTCATCCCCCTGGGAGTAAGCCCTGCTGTGCTCAGCAGGATTTCCTTCTAGGAATTCACACACACATACACACATCACCCAAGTGTAAAACCGTAAGATAAGACACTAGAATTTCTCCTTTCAAGAAAAGTTCCTAGCAACCTTCTTATTAGTAGTCTGGCTGGCAAGAGTAAACAAGTATCAGCTTGCACGGGATTACAGGGACAAAACAGTGGTGGCAGAGGCTGGTTTGCTGTCACTAACCCATGATATGGAAGAATAGAAACAGCTGAACCACTGCATCCTTCGCATCGTTATTTGGCTGAAAGTACCACTCAGTACAATGGATCTTATTCTCATGTAAGTGCTCTTAGGAGAGCGCACTGTAGCTATAATGCAAATGCGCACCAGCATTTGACTACTTTGATTGGGGGCTGCTTTTTGTGTGTGATTTTGGTTTTCTCAGTCAGTATATACTGTGGATGGAGAATTGGACTGGGGAGATGTAGGTTCAGAGTCCCACTATTGCATGCTATTAAATAATGCATCCATTTAGCTATAGGGCAACTTTGAGGCAGTCATTGCACCTCAGTTGAATGGAGTCGCTGTGAGAATAACAGGGGATACCTGCACACAGACTGGCCTGAGTCTCTTGGAGGAAAGGCAGAATGCAAATGGGTGTCCACGTTGGGTAGCGTGGGATGTGGGACCCTTGTTTTGAGATAAAATTCAAGGTTCCTGTGCCTATTATCCTGCATTCTTAGTTTCACCCTCTCTGACTCAAGGACTGATGGGTAGGATGGCTAAGGAACATCCCAGAAAGGCTGCTGCAAAGCAGACTAGGCATCACTGGGCTCTCGTCTGGGCAGGTGTAGGCTCTTCCGTCTATCTTAGAGCTTAGCTATATGTTCGTGCAAGGCTGTGAAAAGCTGCGGGAAACCTGGGCTGACTGGGTTCAGAGAACAACCTGCATTCAAGGGTTCTTGTTGAAAAGTCGGATGCTTGAACACAGCAGAGGTAGCAAAGCATGGGGAACAACCCTTAGTTCACAACCCAACAAGCAAACGTGAGATCTCTTTAGGGTCAGTCATGGTTAACAAGCAAAGACTTCTTAGTGCAGATGGGTTCAGACAATAGGATAACCTGTGTTTCAACAACACCCCACAGTTCAGCCTCTATTCAGCCCTCGAGTGAGTGTTATCATACTATACTATAGCACAACATAGTATAGTACATAGTAATTGACTGGACATAGTAATTGACTTAGTCCTTCTCCTGCAACCTCTGGCTAACCTCTTTGAATGAAATGCCTGTGCAATGCATGAGCACTGCATTTACATTACAACTGTAGCATCACTTTTACAGCAAGGCCATCTGTGGCGACAACGGAAATTCATCTATAGTAAGGAAAGAGGCCAGATGATGCTTCTCTGGATATTCTTGTGTTCTGCCTCGGGACTTCCTTTGCTGTTCTCATTCTTACCTCCAAGTAGCAATGACACAATCAGATCTGAAGCGGCTTTTAAGCCACACATGTCTTCTGGCTTGGAACTGTCCTGGAGCCGCTGCAAAATTTCCACCACAGCCTCCTGGATACCAGCTTCAGTCAACTGCAGTTTTAGAGCATCTGTGGAGGTCATCATAAGCTTATACAATGAACACATCTCACTGAGCATTATAAACCTGATTACGTAGATGGGTGAGGACTTGTTCCCACATGATGATCTGCATCCTATCCCATGCCACGTTGGCAACATGGGATATGACATTGCATGGGAGGTGCAAATCATGTGGGAAGTTGTGCTAGCTGGAAGGAGAACATTCTCCAAGTCAATAAAATCTCCCCATGATCTTCGCCCACCATGTGCGGTCTCCTGAACTATTTTTACCTATGCCTATATGTATCAGATGGGACTGCAGGTGGCGCAGTGGTTTAAACCACTGTGCTGCTGGGCTGGTTGATCAAAAGGTCGCCAGTTCGAATCTGCACAACGGGGTGAGTTCCCATTGCTCCGTCCCAGCTCCTGCCAACCTTGCAGTTCGAAAGCATGCAAATGCAAGTAGATAAAAAGGTGCCTCTTCAGTGGGAAGGTAACAGCGCTTCGTGAACTTTGGTGTTTAGTCATGCGGGCCACACGACCATGGAGACTGTCTACGGACAAACGCTGGCTCCCTTGGCTAGGAAACAGAGATAAGCACCACCCCCTAGAGTCAGGCATGACTGGACGTAATGTCAAGGGGAAACCTTTACCTTTATATGTATCAGATAAATATGAGCAAGCTATGAATTCCCACCAATAATCTGGGGAATTGTAGTCTGGAGAAAGGGCTCTGTTAATCCCCAACTACAATTCCCAGTATTCTCCAGAGAAAGAGGGGAAAATAGCTATCAAATCCATCTAATTCTGTAGCAGGGATATATTATTTGCCTCATACCTGTGAATATGAATGCCAGCCATAAAAAAGTTATATAAGGGCTGCTTGGATAACCTATGAAATGGGCCTATTACTTGTGATTCTTGTGGGTGAAGGATCAACACATCTACATTAAAATATTTTTGGGTGGAGAAGGATGCTGTCAAACAGCACTAGCTTTCTTCCATTTTGGGTCCTCCATTAACTGGCAAAGGCAAATGAAGAAGGACAGAGTTCATTTTCTGTCTCTGTTGGAATGACCAAGAGCACCTCAATAGCCGTATGAGGGTGAAGGGAAAATATGATAACTATTAACTTTATAACAGATTTTTTTTTAAAAAAGTCTTGTTTGTCAAAGGCAGCTTTAAAGATTCTAGATGGGTCAAAAATCCTGGTTAAAATCAGGACACAGTGTTACCTTTCTATTTTGAATGAACAAATATGGTAGGGGAGGAAAGAGTTGGAATTTCAAATATGAACCACTGGGACACTTTCTTAAGTGGTTACATTAATCTTAATTTGCTTAACTGAAGCTGACCATGCTGCATTCATCAACTACTAATGTCTACTGTGATCTGGTCAAAGCAAAAACTTTGGGCGCTTTTAAAATCTAATGCATGCAATTAATTGCATTCTATGGGCTGGATATACAAAGAAACCTGGCAGTCTCTTTGAGTACCTCTTTATTTTGCTTGCAGTTTTTACCTAACCTTTCACCATCACTGCTGCTTTTCATATAACATTTTCAACATGTAATCATATGTTGAACATGATAAACAAATGGGTTTGCAAACATGTTTTATGTCATGCATACAACACCAGTAGATGCCTCAGGGAAATTGTTGGGCTGTACCCAATGTGAGACCCATTGAAATGACTAGGACTTAAGTTAAACAACCCATCAGGTTTTATTAAGAGAATGTGCAATTCAGTCCTAAAATTGAACATTTCTTTAACATTTGGGCTATTGGTGGCTGGTCAGCTTTCAGTCTGATTGCCCAGTACCCAGGTTCCAAAATTATAACACCAGCAGCAAGCTTTTCTACTCGTAGTTAAAATGCCCTTAAAGAACTTGTTAATTTTCTGGGTGGGGAGCTGATAGCTCCCTAGAAAAACAATGAAAAAGAAAGCAGAAGAAAGTTGCTTCGATACCTCAGGAGACAGACATGTGCAAAGTTTGCTTGGAACATGCTTTTAGATTATAGCTTCAATTTCTGCTTCAGTTAGCCTACATTGCTTGTCTGTATGATTGTGTGGAAAAACATGAAACAACCACCAGATGTCACATCAGCCTGGGCCTTACCATTCTCTGCTAGGGTCTGTAGAACTTCAAGGATAATTTCTACTTTTTCATGGTGGGTTGTGCTTCGCAGTTGATAGACCAAGAGTTCTGCAACTTTTGTCTTGCTAAGCGCCTCCTTAGCAGAATCTAGATTGTTTAAAAAAGATTTTGTACATGGATTACTTGATTTTAAATATAATTCACTGAAAGCCTAGAGGTGGGAAATGGCTGCTTTGATAGTGGGAATTGTCTTTCTGCAAGTTTTTTGTCTTTATTGTTTTGTGAACTGCAGATTGGCTAGGAAGGGAAGAGTCACCCATGGTTTGGGAATGGTGGAAAGGACTGTCTACAAAGGCTCAGAAGAAGACCACTGGGGAGTTTTGGTGTGACTTCAAAAGGTTGCATGGTCCTTTTGATGGGTCTACTTTGACAATTCAGCAGAACTATACCTATACTTTCACCACGATTCTATGCCTTATTGTTTGGAAAACAAGTTTGACTACCTTCCTACACCTAACATGTGGCGAAGGATGGATCATTTCCTACATTTTAGAAAATAAGAAGTTATTTGCTTGGTCAGACCAAGGTCTGTGGAGTCCACCATTCCAATTCACAAAGATGCTGGTCTGGGAGTTTGCTAGAACATTGGTCTTCAACTGATGGTTAGGAGTTACCACTGAAATATGCTCCCTGATGGCTCCTCCAAAATCAGATTCAGCCTCCTATTCAGTAATAAGTTCAATTTATCTACCCACCTCTGAGAGCAAGTGAGCATCATGTCATGAACAGAGCCGGCTGGTGCCGGAGGTCAGACTAGATGGCCTGGGAGACCCCTGACTCACTCTGTTTCTATGTTTCCTGTGCTGGTTGGTACATTCTATTTTTACACTGTATTGGAGGGTTCAAGCTGAACCCATTTTTCCCTTTGGTTTCTACATTCCGTGCCATATAGGGCTTGGGGGAACTCTCTAGGCTACCACTACTCTTGGTTCCCCACCTCAGTTTTTTCTCTGTATTTTTCTGGGTGACGAACAGCATGATTTCACTCACATGCAACTTGCAAGGAGCAATCCAAAGAGTCCAGGCTTTTGAAAAGACTTGGCTCATATCCCACCACTAAGGATGGGTCTTCTCACCTCCTACTTGGCTTGGGTAAGATCCTCACTGCAGCATCTCTCTAATTCTCTTCTGTCCATGGAGGAGCTACCCATGTCACTTTGGGCCACAGCATTATTTGCATTTTCTCTTGGCAACCCCTTACTGTCTATCCGGTTCCATCACCCTCCTATCTCCTTATGAAGTACCGGCTTCCTCTCCTCTTCCAGATTTCCATAATGCCCACAGCTTGCTCCATTTCTCTTGGCCTGTTCCTGCTCTTGCCCCATGTATCTCTATAGAATTAACCAAATAATTGCCTGTCCCATCTGGATGCTGTTTATGCACCGATTCTTTCACTTTTATAATAAGTTGTATATTCAATTATGAAAAACCATTGCATGTGGCCACTTTAGATTGTCTCCTCCTTAATAGCTCAGTTACTGGCATAGTATTCTGTGACTGTGGGGTAAAAACCGTACCAAATAATATTCAGGAACCTATATGTACAAGGGCACAGAGCAACGTGACCAAAGGAGAGAACATATCATATTGAAAGATAGCATATACACAACATTCTCCCTCCATTGTGGGGAATTTTTTGTCCATTATTTATTTCATTTAATTTCTCTACTGCCCAATAACCAAGCCTCTCTTATGGTCTTGTGCTTCTTGTCATGGACATGATGGTGGATGGGTGATGCTTCAAGCTAAGGTTCTTTCAGACAAAGAACAACCCAATACAGCCACAGGAAAATTGCAGTCAAAGCAAAGGACTATTTACCTAGATCTGCAAGGTTGGATAAGGCAAGCAAAGCGACACGGACAAGAGGTTCATTGTCTGGATAGTCTGCCATTATCCTGACCAGGGATGGTATCACTTTGGCCTCCACCAGCTGTTCCTGGAGGTCATCTAGAAAAGGTGAGTGCAAATTTGAAGTCCCACCTCTTGTTTGACAATTCTTGTTTACTGTTATGATCCATTAGACTCCACATAAGCATCTGAATAACACCTTTGAACACACCTTTCTGGACTGTAGTAGTAGTACCAGAAGACCACTTGAGTTGTGAGCATCCTTGAGGGTCTTTGCAACAGCACTGTTCAAGGGACAGAAGGACAACCCTCCATGCTTGCAATGAGCAATTAATACAGCTGTCTTCCATTGAATCTAACCAACTCAAAGGATCCACATGGGGATGTTGGTGGCCACAAAGAAATGATGAAGAAAACCAACTCTCCCACCCAGCAACCCACTCATCCACTTCCCCAACCCGCCCCCAATGATTGGATCCCCTTGGTTGCTGGACGATAATGTCCTTTCCCACTTCTGTGTGGCTTGTGTAATTGAGCGTACGCGTCTGGTCTTGCTCATCGTATAACTCAGTCACCTAATAATGTGCAGACTTGTTAAAAGGAAGCAGCAGATATTATCTTGCCATAAAAAATGGTCTGGCTGAGGCCATCCACCGTCCTCTTTCATCTGCAAGTGGCGTAGGTAACACGTCCATGAGAATTTAGGAAACCCAATGATCCAAAAAAGGCCATGTTTCAAACTAGAGAACATTTCTGTCCTTTTAACACCCCATAGCTGCAGCAGAAGGTGCAAGCTCAGCTATTCCTGACTGATCTTGGCCTAATCCTTTGCCTACCCTTCTTTGCATTCTTCTGGAATATTTATTTTTTATGTCCATTCCTTATTTCCTTAAGAGAGCTGAGGGAAACATGCAGCCTACCCCCCTTCCCATTCCATCCCTCCAACAATCCTGCCAGGTAGGTTAGGCTAAGGGACAGTGACTGGCCAAAGGTACCCAATGACCTTCCTGATGGAGGATTTAACCCTAGGTTAACCCTGATCTAGCACTCAACCACTATGCTAAACTGGCTTTCTATGGCTGGAAGGCTGTTACATAGACAGGAAGGGTAACTGGATTGAAATCTGGAATCTGTGCAGAATTGCTTAGAGCCAAGGAAGAATTATTATTATTATTATTATTATTATTATTATTATTATTATTATTATTATTAAAACATTTTTATGCCGCCCCATTCGCCGAATGGCCTTATCTGATGACTGTTTGGATGGTGCTTGTAGGAACAAATTTTGGCTTTGCAGCATGTTAACACAAAACAAATCAAGACAAAGTGGAACAGAAACAGAACTTCAGAAGGATCCAAATATTACTACTCTTATCCTAAAAATAAATTATTTCTGACAAAATGTAGATCTGATTCACACCATCTTGGCTACCCAAGAGCAGGCAAGCGCTCTTGATGAGCCAAACTACTCAGGGGCATTCTGTGCTTGGGTTGTTGGCTGTGACACTGGAACATGGCGTTGCGGGTTGTTAGGGAAGGAAGGAACAAACAAACTACAAAGGTATCACCTGACCTTGTGTGCGGTTCTTCTGCAAGCAACCCACAATTCTGCCTTTGGATGTCCTAGACGGCAATGCTCCGTCCTCAGGTTGTGTAGAATCTAGATCATTGGGATCTAGATTTAGACTTTGGATCATTGGAAACAGGTAGGTGGGTGGGAGGCAGCTCCATTGCTCACTCCTCACCACTCCCTGTCCTTACCACTTGACTGTGGCTACTTACTGTTGTCATAGCAGATGCGACCCATGGCCCTCCCTGCATGAAGCAGCATCTCTTCATTGGTGCTGTCCAGCAGTGGAACCAAGACCGGCACCAAGCCGGCATCTATGCAGGCAGTCTTCATTTCCTCTGCATGGACAAAAGACAGAGGTCCAGTTCACCCATCAATCTGAAATTGCAAGCCAACTGTGTACAATTCAAAGAAATGAAATCTCGGGACTATCATGAAGGAAAAGGCATTGAAACTAGGTTGGTGTTCCAAATCTGGACACATTCAGAGGATGATTGTGGCGCTTGCTTTAAGATGAAAGTAGATCACATTGTGTGCTATTAAATAGGTGAATGGTCATTAACATATGTTAAATAAACCATTCATGTCCCATGGATTCTGGTCTTTACTCCAGGAAAATTAACTTCCTGTGCATTTTTTGGACATCAGAAAGCAAACCCAGTTCTTCCTGGCTCGGTTAAAGCTTGACTGGGCCCTTTTGCATATTCCATGGCATTATTCAAAGAGCTCTAAAGCGCCAGATGTTTCCCACCCTCACCCCACCCCTCAAGCACAGTGAACTGGGCTGGTGCTTGGGAAGGCCCAATTTAATGGACTCTGACACGACTATATGGAGTCCTTTATGCCCCTTTGAGAGTCCATTGATGTCATATGGACTGCAAAGGGGCTTTAGGAAGACCTGTCCTGTTCCAGCTCTTTTTAAGGCTAATTCCAGCAAGGGAGCTTTCTACCTGCTCTACCAAATGGGTACAAACCAACAGACCTAGATTCAGAGCCAAGACCTGCTAACTGTGGGATTTTGTACTGCCCCTGACATTAATTGAATCTACGTGAAGTAAATGAGATTTGGAAATCAAAATGAGGTTTGATTCTGCAGGACTGATCTTGACAGTCCCTCCCTCCACTTGCTTACAATACTCCCCCACTTGCTTTCCATTGTTCAGGAAACTTCCTTCCTAGACAGCTTGTAATACTTCTGGTGACTCTGCTCTTGCATCAGTGTGCTATATCCTTAGACAAATTCTGGGCTTTGAGTACCTCAGCAGGGCACACCGCACTGAAAACCTTGCACCTTTCCCTGAGAAAATGAACCCCCACAGCCTACAGATTTTTGGTAGATGCCATTTTGTCTTCTGCACACTTCAGAAACTGCCTCAGTCCAGGCCATTACGTGAGCGGTGGGGCCAGTGCAGGAAAACCTCCCACCAGTCAAATGATTGTCCTTTGTTTTCCCCACAGTATCCCCGTGACACAAAACATCTGTGGCATTGTGAAGAAAGCCATGTCTCCGCTGTTCCTCACAGTCTTTGAAAGCTTACAATCTTGTAAAATAATCCCCCCACTGCTGAATTCTAGTGAGGAACAATCTCACCGCATGCTGGGGGAAGAGAAGCTCAGACTCAGCCTACAGCAACATAGAAAGTGAGACAGGATTCAATTAAAAAAAGTTTTGAAAGACCAATCGAAGTGGGGGAGTGGTTTGACACCAAGGAAGTGCAGGCAAGCCTGAAAGGTGACTCAGCTTCACAGAGGCAGTGCTAATGAACAGATAGCTACATTGGAGGTGTCTAGGAATCCTGAAACATTGATTCTCTTTCCTAAATGTCATGGCACATACCATTTTTAGCTATCTCTGCCAGCACCTGCGCTGCCTTTACTGCAGAAAGTGGACTGCTTTGCAGAAGTCTGGCAAAAGCCTGCAAAACTTCACACTCAGCCAGAAGAGAGGCAGTGGCTCTGTGGCCTGCAACAATACAGAACACAATTTGGTTAAAGGGGAGGGAAACTGGGAAGCGAGCCATTCAGCATTACCACCCAGTTGCTCCAGTCCAGGCAGTAGGTGGTGCCGGTGCCACAATCCATTGCAAAGGTTTCCTGGGGAAAAAAAGTGAAGCCAGGAGGAAATAATACTTTTGCTAGTCCCATTAAAGTTAGTTTTATGGTCTCATTGGCCATCCTCTGAAGGAGGATCGTCGATGGCCTTTGAGGGCCGGAATGGTCAAAGCACTGGCCTAGAACTGAGTAATTATGAGTTCAAATCCCCACTTGGGCATGTATCCTAACGAGTTCCCTTGGATCTCTCTCCACTCTCAGAGTTGTTGCAAGGATTAAAATGCAAGGGAAAACATTTAACTGTTAAATGTCCCTGTAAGTTAGGGATCAGAGTTACATTGAAGGAGTATTTTATATATATGTACGTAAGTAATTAGACAACAACTGCAGGAACCTTCTTTATCCTGCACCTTCAGGATGGAGCTTTGCATGTTCATTGGGGCACACATGTTTCTGATACAGGACACATATATATCTCTTGCAAATGACTTGCAGATGGCACAGGAGTTGTGCTTCTGAGCTCTGGTGCTGTGGGAAACCAGAACCTCCTCCTCCAGGCAGGCACAAACTCTTTGAGCATACCTCGAGTAGCTTTTGAAATCACAGCTGTAACTGTCAAAGGTCAGAGAGGGAGACTTTCATTTCGTCCACATCCTAATCAAATTAAGGCTGCTGGTAGCCTTCCAAACAACACGGAAGGTAAGGAGGCCCAGTTCGCCTCAGGCTCCCTGTCATTCAAGCAATTATTAGGGGTAATGTATGCTGGGTATGACAGTTCTTTGTGCCCACATGGTGGCTTCCTGTGACCAGCATGGAATGACAATGACATGACCTGTATCTGTGCTCATTGCTAGCACGGTGTTGCAACTCAGCCTCCATTGCTGGTTGCTGGTAAGGAACAGGGCTTCCTTTGGTGGCCAGCAGATCTTCTGATGCATGACTGGTGACTGAGGTGAAGGGGTGTGCTTTTTATTGGGGTTGTGTCAAGGGGAGGCATAGTTGGGCATCTGGCAATGACCTACACTCTAGAAGAAGTCCAAGGACAAGAGCCCCTTGGAGTTGTTCCTGCTTTCCAGCTATCTCTTAGTGTGGCCAAGGCAAAGGCAGTACTGAAGAAGAGGAGCAAGAGATGTTATTGCTTATTTGCACATTGGTTTACTGCCCATCTAGAAAGTGAGTGGTAACAATGATGAGGAAGAGAATGGAGAGTGACAGCAGTGAGGAACAACAGAGGTGTGAAGGTGGACTCACTGAGGGATGAAGCCCACTCTCTTGCTTAGGTGGGTCTTGAATCAAAATCATGGAACTGGCCCTGCTTTGCATCAGCTTGACCACTCAGTGGCCTCCAGCTTCTAGTGTGGGCTTAAATGAATGACATTGTTAGTCACTGCATGGGTTCAGGACCACCTTTGTGAGTTTTTGATACTGGTAAGAGGCAGAGCCTCCCTTCTAATGTCCCACCAGAAAGGGGATGTGATGTTCACCAAATCTGCAGAGGCTGGGGTATCCTTCAAGGATTGGCACATCCTTACAGAAAAGTTCCTGCTCTTGGGCTGTGAAAAGAACATTTGTCCTAGCTTATTTTGTTATGGTAACCACACAAAACACCTCCTTGCTTGAAAAATCAGGTGACAGCTGCTTAGTGAAGGTTGACATATAAAATAACCTCCTGCCAGCCCTGTGAAGCATAGGTTGAGCTAACAATAAGTAATTGAACTGCTTCAGTGAAACCTCCCTACTAATTACCAACTGATTTCATTTTATTGTGTTTCCAGAGAACAAAGGTAACATAAGGCAGGCATTTCCATATGAAAATTAACTTCAATTCTTTGTTATTGTACCTTTTAGATTAGTTGGCATGATTAAGAGGTTAATGAGAAGCTAATATGAACCAAAAGTTGGGTTTAGAAGCTTTGAACAGTTGTATAACTCCACCTCCTCCTCCTCCTCCTCGGGATGAATGACTGAGTAGAAGGCCAATGTTCCCACTTAACCAGTGCTTTCTGAACTCTTTGAATTTTCAAGATATTCTTTCTGCATCTAATTGTCTGCAGAACCTCTGGGATGGGGATGGCATATGCTTAGTTCAAAAGTGTGGACCAGACATCCTTTTGGACTTTGCTGTCATTCTATTTGCATTAAAAAATCATTCCATAGCAAATGCGCATGACCTGCAACCATATGTGACTGGAAGTCACTTCCCCCTTTTCCCTGCAGTCCTGTGGATCCATTCACCAGGTGTTCTGTTAGCCCTGCCAATCTTCTAGCAAGAGAAAGCTCAGAGATAAGACCTTTTCCCTGCTATGCTGGACTCTGGAAAAAAAAATCCACCCTTCTTAGGGTATAGCAGGGCAAAACTCTTATCTCTAAACAGCTGCCACATGGAGATAAGAGTTTTGTCCGCCAAGGACTGGGGGCAGTACCTGAGCAGAATGCTCATGAGCCAATCAGTCTTTCTTACTTCCATGACTTGTCCTGCTCGCCTCAGGGCCTAGAACATAACAACCCCAGATGATATCAGTAGGTTGTCATCAGCCTTAAGAGGGGTAACATGCAGAAATAAAGGATTGAAGCCTATACCTACCAACATTTTACATCACTTGCGTTTACTCTTCTTCTATGTAGGATCAGTGCCATATTTACTTTCACATTTCTAGAGGTAATTCCTGTCCTGTTTGTACATTGATTCTTTTGCTATGCGACCAGCATTTTTGTGTCCATGTGCATTTTACATGTACGTGGTATTTCTAGAGGTCTGATGAAGAGGATGAGACTTGGAGCTCATTTGGGAGCTTGCGGAAAATCCTTTTCCAAGGCATCCCCAGAAGATAACATTGGGAGAATGCATTAGCAAGAACAGGTATAAGACAACAATTAGACTCTAACTAACACATAGGGACAGCTGGTGCAAATCCTTGTGGACTATACAGGAGGTATAGGTTTAGTCTCCCATTGCCTTTTATGAGAATGACATCCTTTTCCAAGTTGGCCTTCTAATGCTTTCTCACCCTCTAATGATGTCTACAAGCCAGGGACTTCTCTGTGTGAGGCTCTTATTGCTCCATTTTGTTAAGATTTCTGCTTCTGCATTCTCAGCAGGATATTAATTGGCTCATTTACATGCTGTTCTTGCTGGTTTTCCCTCTGCCTATCAGTATGTTGCCTTACACAGCCACAAGGTGATGCTCCTTTATAGCAGTGTTGCAGAACTACATGTGTTTCATTCCATCATTTTCTGGTAATGCGGCCCTTTCCTCACTCCACAAAAAGTTGCGGAAATGCTTGAAAAGCACAGGAGAGCCCAGATAAGGGCCGCTAGGGATGTGTGAGAAGCCTATTTGGATTATGGTAACCCTTCAGATTCTTTGGCCTGTTTCCCAAACTGCGGTTTGCTTTGACATGGCCATGAGTCTGAGCTCTTGGTAAGCACCCCCCCCACACACACACACACATTTGCAGAGCCCTCATGAGGAACCGAGTGCTGCACGAAAATGGTGGAAGTGGCATCTTCCTTCCATGCCATGCGCAACGGCCTTTGCTTGTGCTGCTGCACAGGGCACAGAAGGTTGCTGTTTGCCCAACCTTCATTCTGCAGGATTCGCACACTTCCTCTCAGCTTGGCTCGCTCTCCAAGGCATGGCCTTGGAAGCACAAGAGGCAGTTCACACACACTAGCGGGGTGGAGTCCATGGGATTTTGGCACATCCCTAGTGATGGCATCGTGTAAAGCACCCACAAACTATGGTGAGTAAGGACTGATGTGTGTGCAAGAGACACCTCAAGGACCCTCCAAATGATTTAAACAGCAGTTTCTATAAGCCCAAGGTAGCCAATGGCCAAGGATTTTGGAAGGCACTTTGCTTGCCTGTCCCAGAAAGTGGAGGTACCTACCTGCCAGAGGAGAGGTGGAACATTCCTCTGAGAGCAAGAAAGACTGTTAAGACACTTCTGTCTGGTCCTTAATGCAAAGGACACCTTCCTTGAAAAGTGGGTAACATGTAGCCTCCCTGGTTCTTCTTACAGGCAGGCAGGGTCAGCCTGGGTGACGATGGCCAGTCTGTTTCCTCCAGGCTGCTACATCAGCATGAGGTCACAATGCTCCCTCCCTCTCACAAGCAGCCAGTAGTGCAACATCTCTGTGTGTGTGTGCTGAGGGCACAGCCTTTCCCTGGCCAGAAGCAGCATGAGGACCATGAATGATGGTTGCCGCTTTTTCATGTTTTAAAGGTAATGTCCTTCTGTGACCCACCATTAATGGGATCAGCCTGCAGCTCTACTAGCCAACATCTCAGCCTTGGGTATTGTATCTCGCCTTATTGATGGGGTGGGCAACTTGCAGGCTGAAACATCTGCAGGTCCACAGGTCCCACCATCACTTCAGCACTGGTTCTGCTGGCTAGTGCTGATGAGACCTGTTGGTCACAATATCTAGAAAACCACAAGTTGCCCACCCTGCTTTATGGAAAAGGACCAAAGAGAGTTTTGAGGGCTATCATATTTGTAAAGTGAACAACTTATTTTCAAGAGGTCATGTGCTATTACTACAGGGCTTTAGTGAATTTGAGTAGGATCACAGTCCAGACTAACCAACTATGTTTCAATAATACTTAACTGTCTTCAGTCAGAGCTTGAAGTATTCCATTTAGACTTTGGATAATCTGGTCTTCAGCTTCAGTGTCCCCTCCGCCAAACTGGAGACGTTCCAAGTGTAGATTCAGGGACTCTGTTCAGAAAGGAAATGAAATGGTTGATGCCATTTAAGATGTTAGGCTTATGCTAAAGAATCTTGGGATGTTTCTGTAGGCAGCCCTGAAAAAAATGATGTATTTTCATTTAATGGCCAATAAAGCTACTAACAAGTTCTTTCCCTTCCCAGAAGCATCCACGTCACCAGCAACACATGGAACATGGAATGCATGAGCCTGAATGTGTGTTTCATCATTGGAGGGGAATTGGTTTCATATTTTATGCTAAAGTAACAAAGTTATGTGTAAATAATAATTAATGAAAATATTTTGCATTATTTAGACTGCTTCTGAGAGCAAAATCCAGATGCTTACCTGATTTTCTGCCTCCATTTCATGATTTAGGAAAATCTGACAACTGCCCTCTTGACTCAAGTGCTGTTTTTAAAAAAATAATAGCAAGGTACACAATAAATAGGACCTTGGATTAGTCATAAAATGTCAATGGTGTTAATTTAAGCATGGGAATGCAGGTGTTTTGTTATTTCCCTAGTGATTCGATTAGTGGAATAACACCATATGTACAGTGGTTTTCAAAGTCCTTCAAAGACATTGACCAGATGGAAGACAATCTTATGTTATAAAAATGGAGAAATAATGGAGAGGAGAGAATGAAGGCTGATGGAAGAAATATTTTTCTATACATCAGTAGAACTGTATAGAGTTTGAATAAACTCTACTGGGAACTCACACAAAATGTACGTTGGGGATCCAACAGGTGAGCAAGAAAGGTGTTTCTTTGTTGGTTTCCTAGAACTTGGGCTCCTGTCTTCCTTCCACACAAATGTTGTTTTGCACGCTTGAGCGAAGTTTAGCTATGCCCTGGCTCCCAAGCATCCATGGTTTCTCTCTCTTAACAAGATAGCATTCTTGTTCCCATATCACTAGATCAGGAAGTCTCCACCTGAAAGCACCAATATGCAGGGTGAGTTCTTCAAAATGTTGGCAAGAGGAGACCCATTGGCTACCACAGGGCAAACATCTCCATGGATAAACTAATGTGTTTCTGGCTGAGTTGCATTGAATTTGTAGGATGCAATAGGGTTATTTCCAGACTAGCACTTTGGACTTCTTGACTCCAGGTTGGAGAGAGGGGAATGGGCACGGAGTATGAAGAGGGTCAAGGTATATCAAAGGCAGTGCCCAGAGATATGCACTGGAGTTGAAGAGCGATAATCAATGAGGGAAGCCAAACAGCGCCTGAGAGACAACTGGAATGTAGAAGTCCTCTTGGGATTAGCACACTGTGGAACCTAGTCTGAAGGTACACATTCCACTTCCTACAGCTGTGGCTGAATTGTAAGAACATAATGTGAACAGGTAGCCGACAGTACACTGAAATAATTTCAAGCAAAGTGGAAGTGCAAAAGGTGGATGAATATACATGAGGCATTCATTGTCTGCTTGTGAGCTCTGACTCACGGAAGTATGTGGGTCTTTCTCATAACATAGTCATCTTCCAGAGCCTCTCCCATATTTTCCAGCCATTTCCATCACGTTATTTTTTTCAGAGTGTGACACATCAGTTACCAAAATTCTAATGCAGAACAAACCAGAATGAAAGCCTTGTGTATTGTCAGAATTCTGTTACACCGCAGCTAAAGCACAAGGGCAACTGGTTGGATACTGAAACATGTAGACAGACAGAGAAAACAAATTTCTGGGTGGGATAGGGTGGCTGCTGAGTGTAAATATATAAAGGATGTACTCTTCCTCCTGCACATTAAATGGAAGAAGCCCCAGTAAAACTGGGTTAAATGCCTTACTGATATAAGAAGTCCATTGTAGGAACTGGGCCCACTTTTCTCAAAACACTCCAAGCTAGAAAGCTTAAACTGTGAAGGTGAGTTAGATGAAGAAGAGGGGGGTTGGAATGCCTTATTTAAATACCAGGGTTAACAAATGAAATTTGCCAAGTTGCTGGTGAGAACCAGGTTTCTTCCGACTCAGGGTGAGATATTGTAGAACAAGGAAGGAGAGAGGGCAGGACTGTGAGTTCATCAACCCAGTGGTTTGTTGTCAAGCCAAATAAGCAGATCAATTAAGTAGTTTCTGGTGTTCCCACCGTCTGGTCCAGAAGCAGCATGAACCTCCCTGAAGGTGGAGCCAGTCCTTTTTGGAGAGGAAGGAGGGGGATTCCATTTGGAATCAACTCTGAAGATAGGCAAGAGTTGACTACCACTCAGATAGATGCTTCTTGTTAACAGCTTTATTATGTCTCACTCTGTATTGCAAACCTTGCCTGGCTCTGTAAAGGACTGTATTTTAGAAGCCTTTGCCTTACTCTGCTGGAAAGGGGGAGATATGTGTCCACAACTCGCAGTATAATGAGGCTAAAAATGCATTGCTATAGCAATAACAGCAGTCCTAGTTCAAGGGAGCAAGCTCAAGCACTTCAACTTGCAAATATAGAATGGTTAACCAGAGTTAGATGTATTTATCTGAAATCTTGTCCCTTGGTCCTCTTTTGTTACAGAATTCAAGAGCTAGCCAGAAGTAATAGTCACCTGTATGTCCTTGAGGAGTGACAGATCATTAAGTTTCGGATTTTTGGAAAAGGCTAGTTTTAAGAGAAGCACATTGGAATTTGCTGTTAAGCCAAAGGCCTACCTAAAGTTTGGGCTGATAAATGATGAGCATTTAAAGAATTTAAAGAATTGTAGCTGATAAATGATGAGCATTTGAAAGGAAAACCTCAGTGTAGGAGCACAGTGAGTATGCCATGATTCTACAGGAATTCAAGAGTAGCACAGAATGGCAGATTAGGCACAGAATGCAGATGTTACACTCTAAAAATGTGGATAAAGAATTCACTTCATCTCTTGATCCCAGTTTTTCTGCTTCGATTGATACCTTAATTGTGACTGTGTCTATATTTCACCATTGAGCAACTTAGCATTAGACTATACACTATTAAAAAGGCAGATGGTGTATTTGGGATGTGAAATTCAAATCCTATATGGTGTGACATCATGCCGGGTACATGAAAAAAATGTATGAATCTTTCATGGAAGGAATTAAGATTTGCTGATGATTAGTATTCAAATTGATTCCCAAATTTTTCTGTAAGGTTCTTGATATAATCTCTTCATTGGATGTTCTCTCTCAGCATCTGACTATTGGCTAAATAGTCCCTGAAGGTTTGAAATTAGTCTTTTGACATATGGATATATTTCATATCAATTTGCTTTGGCCTTTGGAACTGCAAAGTGGCTAACATGTAGTCATATCGATTTGGAATGGTTTATATACTTTGGTGCACTGATCAACTCAATGGAGGCTGTAGTCATGGAATTTGACCTTTGGGCAGTTTCCACTCACAGGTGGCATCTAAATACCACCCATCCAAACATTAAGTCTTATGCTGAAAACATAATTAGGTATTCAGTTCATTTTTATAGGAGGTGAGTGTTATTCCTTCCAGTCTTATAATTACTCATTGCAAGCATGGAGGGTTGTCCTTCTGCACCTTGAACAGAGCTGTTCCAAAGACCCTCAAGGAAGCTCACAACTCAGGTGGTCTTCTGGTACTATCACTACAGCTCAGAAAGGTGTATTCAAAGGTGTTATTCAGATGCTTGTGTGGAGTTGAATGGATCACAACAGTAAGCAAGAAGTGTCAGACAAGAGGTGGGACTTTAATTTTGCACTTGCCTTTCCTGGATGACCTCCAAGGTGCAGAAAAGCTATTTATTTTGACCTTGTGTTACCTTTCAAAGAACAGGTAAATAATTTAAGAGAATATGTCTAATTGTGTTTTTTTTTTGTTGAAGTCTATGTACAATTGCTGGAACATTGTATGCACATCAAACAAATTCATGTTTGTGTAAAAAATGGAAGACATGGGTGTCCATGGGCACAACATTGGATACCTCTTTGGAGATTTCACTGGAGGATGCCTGGTGCAGAAACACCATAAGAACCTGTGTGTCTTCTGAGAAGTTAATCAGGAGTCTTCCTCCAGTCTGCCTCTCATCAGCCAGAGGGCAACCAGGGAAAGGGCCCTTCCGGTGGCCCCTAGGCTGGTGATGTCCATTTGGCCTTTTCCTTTCTCTCTTTCCAACGTCAGGTAAAACAAAATTATATGATCAGGGGGGTGGGAATAGGACGAAGATGGTGAAGCCTCTAAACACACAGCCAGATGCTGCTTGCTTGTACTGGCTTTAGAGCTTGGAATTCTGCATTCGTACAGCTTGAAATTAGTTTTAGCTATGTTCTTTAGACCTGGCAGAGAGGCAGAGTAAGTATTTTAAATAAATATGCTATACAGAGGAAATGGATGCAATATTGACCTTGCTATCATGAATCATTAGTAGGAAAGAAAGAAGTTGTGTAATCATTTGTTCGAAAGGTAAATCATTCTCACCTTGATATGCTATGCACAGTCTAGGCAAAAATTAGGAACTCCTAATTCACCCTTGCCTAGATGCTTTATATGGAGGATAATGAAGATAAAATGCGTATGGAACAGCCAGAACATTTACGAGTCATGCAACAAGATGCTTATCCTCAGCTGCTTGGTGGTCCACTTGTGCTATGCACAAAATGTGCGTGCAGGCATTTAATCTCTCCTGGACTGGCTGCACATTGCTTTGGAAACACTGCTGGCTTGAAATGATGCAACTTGACAGGTCTGCATTAAGTCTGAATTTCAGGCCATCCCACGGTCCATACGGCTGCCTTTACAGCTTATTGAAATGCAGCCGATTACTTTGCAATCACATTTAAGTGACCAGCTGGGTTTGTTTGTGGGCGATTGCAGCCAAGATCTCTATGACTCACATTCCAACTATTCCTAATGTTAGGCTCCTCTCTCTCTCTCTCTCTCTCTCTCTCTCTCTCTCTCTCTC